CTCCCTGGTTCACTCATCAGCTCAGTGCACTATACACCTTGACTTATCGCCGAACCTAACAGTTCTCCATTACAGGTTGGGCCATGCGCTTGACACAACTGAGTGAGAACGTTTGTACTCTTCATTTAGAACTATTGCGCCATTATCACGGCTGAAATGGGCATCAGACATTGCACCCATGTGGAGAATCGGACTGTAGCCTTCGACGTGACCAGTGAACGGTTCAACCAGCATGCTACCCAGGCCCCCCAACCCTACTGGCGTGGTGGGTGGCTAGGATCTTGCATCACCTTGGGCACTTGCCCTCACCTTGGGCACTTGCCTCACCTTGGGCACTTGCCTCAACTTGGACACCTGCCTCACCTTGGGCACTTGTCTCACCTTGGGCACTTGTCTCACCTTGGACACTTGCCTCACCTTGGGCACTTGCCCTCACCTTGGGCACTTGCCTCACCTTGGGCACTTGCCGTCACCTTGGGCACTTGCCCTCACCATGCCTGGTCAGATATCCTTAGCACTCTGGACTTGTGCCGTTGAAGATAATGCTGTTGTTAATCTTTGCCGTAGCCAAATGACGCGACCGTGGTCTGCCTGACAACTGTTGGTACGTACATCATAGTCAAGAGGTTGTGTTCTGGAGACACTGGAACCGATTTCAAGATTCGGACCAGAAAAGAAAATTGTGAAAGAATGAGTAACTGTGATGCCAACAGTATTTTAGCACACACCCTAGTGTTCAGCGTTTCAAGGCAAACATATATAAAATTATTCTTTTTCATAAATCAGTTATTCTTTAGCACACCCAGAGTATTAAATAGCTTTCTATGACACATACTACCTTTGTTATTCTATACTCGTCAGGAGAAGTCGAAGATCATGAAATGTAATGTTGACAACTGGTATTTAGAAATTTGAAACTTCACGTCTTTCCCTGTATCGTCTTTCAAGATCATTGGCGGTCATGACTTGTACCGTCCTAGTTGACTACCCCAGGTAATGCGTTGCCAATTCTTTCACTTTCATCATACAACCAATATCTTTTACAAGTTTGGAGTTCTAAGATTTTGCGAATTTGCCCTACTTTGTTTGAAGAGTGTGCATGGCTTATAGCACTACAGTTCCATGTCAGTGAACATCGACTGTGTGTAATACACGTGTTGCACGTGTTTAACGTGTTCTCTCCTCTTGTGGGGCAGCAACATCTTGGTTTAAGCTTTCGTTGGCCACGCCGGGTTCCATTCCCCACAATGGGTAAATTGTAAGAAGCCCATTTCTGGTGTTCTCCGCCCTGATGTTGCGGGAATATTGCTAAAAGCTGCGTAAAACAATGTCCCCCGCGTGATTCCCAGAGTGTATGATCTTGGGTGTCGGGTTATGAAGGGTCAGTGTTCTTCTTTCAGAGAGTTACACTTTTTGTGAGAAATTGAAAAGATACACTTCTTGTGAGTCATAAGAACCAACTGATAGCTAACTTAAATGAGTAGGGACAGTAAAATCCTTACTATACAAGTACATCCATCCGCTGAAATTACAACAACGGCAAGCATAACACGTCAAATCCGCATACTACCGGCTTCTATTTGACGTAAACGGCGGCAAAACGGTTGTGAGAATTATATGAATGGATAACTGGCAATCAGTGATGACACCAAGAGTTTGCGAATAGAACAAAAATGGAATTAAATGTGCTTGCAGGTGAAACATAAAGAAAATATGAAGCAAGTAAACCACACGTTCTCACCTTCATGTATTCGAGTCCATTGATCCAGGTTGACTTCATCACCTCAGCTAGTGACATATTGAATCTTAGACCGGACAAAACTAAATCCACCGCTCTGGGACGAGGACAAGCTCTCGTGGAGACAGATGCACAAACACTCCGTGTCTGTGGGATGAAGACGCTCTACCCACCACAGCGCACTGGGCCCGCACAGTGATAAAGACGCGCAATGCGTTCTACTCACTCGTCTGACAACGCCCCTGCATCTAACTACTATGACATGTACGGTAGGACACTGAAATGATGCGGACACTGCGCTCTACCTTCTGAGATGAAGACGCGAATTGCTTCCAACCGATTGGGATGAAGACGTGCACTGCGTTCTACATCATTGAGGTGAAGACACGCTCTGCGTCCTCCCCGCTGGTCATGAGATAGCAGGTTTTTCTTTTTAACACAACGCTTCTACTCTATGAAAACGGACGTTAAATGATCATGCCATTCTGCAAGTATATGTGATGAAGAAGGATGTGAATAACTACATTGAAGATTGCTGTTACGCACTGAGATGAATGCTGGCGCTCAAAGAAAGAACACGCGGGTGAAGACACTCTTGGTGATGAAGGCACAATCTCTAGGGGATGAAAACACATGTTCTATTACACCGATATGAAGGAAGACTAAAAGGGACACACAGACGATCAAGGGGACAAGACTGACGCTTATCTCTACCGAGACGAAACCCCAAAGGCACCGTGTGAAGCCCGCACTCTGGCTCGATCTGTTTACTGCTTGAATGTTCTAAAGACAATTAGGCTGGCTGACGGAGTAGGATGTCTTGTCAACAGAACCATGACGCGCGCGCTACTTCAGATATTATGTTCATGATCAGTACAGTTAACTCCGGTTACCTATCACACCATGGATAGCTTCTTGCAAGAGTAAGCGACTACTGGACATCAGCGTCACATTATTCTACCACAGGGCGGTATGGGCGAGTAGTGACATGTGTGCAAGATGAAACGTTCTAGACATTTCTTTGATTCGAACTGAGAAATATATCAAAAATAGATCGTCATGAGCAGTTCCTATCATAGTGCTAAGCTGCTGACTTCGTTGTAAGCTACTTAACAGCGTTGTCTCTTTCATATGCTGCTTAATGGCATGTCCAGTATCTCATTTCATGCATCGAGCCATCACAAATATGTTATCTACAGCGACAGATGATATGAGAGTCCAGCCAGTGATCAGGAATCTTTACGTGGGATGGTGAAAATAGCTAGATGCATGGGTTCGTTTCAGAACTACCCTTTCAGTTGTTGCTCCAGGGAACGGTAGAACTCTGCAAAACACACGCATGTTCTGTCATGAAGCAGGGATCTGCCGTACAGATAACGATGCGACATATGACACGTGGATCGGATAGATGCCATACTTGTGTGCCATTACACAAATGAAATCAATCATTCGCGATGAAATGACACCATTGTATATATTTCCATTTGATAAAGTATCGCGGTATGTTGTAACCATATACCTACTCAGATATCTAGGATATATTCAGACACTGATCATACTCGTCTCATATTTAACAGAACTGAAAGGAACAAATGGAGGATTTCATCGGAACTATGTTTTACATAAAAACTGTTACCATGAATCGATGAAACTGTCGAAGACATTTAAACTTTCGTGGACGCTGTTGTTACATTGGAAAGACACAACGTAAAAATTGAGTTTTAAACTTTCAAAGTCATTCTTCCAGTTTTCCGTTCACTTACAGTAGATTCAGAATTATTGTAATTTATATCGAATTTGCTTGAAAGAATCCGTTGCTTGAAATTAAAAGGTTAATTTTGAACGCTGAAATGTTTGCTATATTACAACGCGACAGCTGTTGTTTGTTGCTGGGACAAAGGTAGCAGATCACTTTCTTGATGAAACCGACGATCATAATAGAAGCAAATCTGGGATTCGAACTAGCTACCAGTGAATCGCGACAAGCCGGTGGGACGGTCTTTGAAATAGAAATAGCATCTGTAGAGTTCACACCCCCAGAGTGAACATGATTTTAAAGTTGGGCCAAATACACGAATATGTATGAAAATGTTAGCAAAAAGTGTTTTTCTCAAAGGCTTGAAAGAGCTGAAAAAATTGTTAAGATATATTGTTATATGGTACTCCAAGTATACGATCCTGTATGTGGACCTTGAACAACCGAAACGAAGCTTTTCGTGTTCAGGCTCGGAGTAATTATTTGTCAACATGACGTGGACCACTGCTGATGGTTGTACCATGGGTTTGTAGGTTCGACTTTCAACAGTGACGCTCACTCATAAAAAAAGTTTATAACACACTATAACAATATCCCTTTGGCATATGGAGCTGCAGATTTCAAACTAGCGGAGGTGGCTAATTCTCAACACAAACGTCCGCACATGGCACCCAAAGATCAGTAGCGAGTCTACCCTATAGTGCCCGTATGACAACCACCATCCTGCCCTGGATGTCATGAAGGAGCAACTGCAGCTAGTCTGATCGATGCAGACCTTTGTCGAGTTCAGACAGATTCTTTACAGGAGGATCCAGTGACTGTTTGTGACGGCCAAGAAGGGCCCAAAAGTGCTTCAACCGGGCTGTAGGTAGGCTGCCACTGCCTGGGGACGATGTCGTCTGGCGCTATGACCCATGACCTAGTTCTGGGTACCTGTCGACATGGGGACAAGAACCTCTTGAGGTGATCTGTCAGTAGGGGCTTTTTGATAACTTTACTCGACGCCATTCCTACTGATCTGAAGCGGTTGCTCAGTGTGTTGGAAGACGTAGCAAAAGACTGTCGTCGAATGTCTGTGTAGGTGTTTCAGGTGAAGTGTGTGTGTGTGTGTGTGTGTGAGTGCGCGTGCGCGCGCGCACAGGTGTCTACGGTGAGTGTGAGTGAGGTTTACATGCAGGTGTCTACGGTGAGGTGTGTACGTGTAGGTGTCTACGGTGAGGTGTGTACGTGTAGGTGTCTACGGTGAGGTGTGTACGTGTAGGTGTCTACGGTGAGGTGTGTACATGTAGGTGTCTACGGTGAGGTGTGTACATGTAGGTGTCTACGGTGAGGTGTGTACGTGTAGGTGTCTACGGTGAGGTGTGTACGTGTAGTTGTCTACGGTGAGGTGTGTACGTGTAGGTGTCTACGGCGAGGTGTGTACGTGTAGGTGTCTACGGTGAGGTGTGTACATGTAGGTGTAAACACGTCCAGCCGTAAGAAAAACGAAACGATGTAATTTGAAACAGTTTCCTCTTTATTTCAGTGACCTTCTTCAGGAGGGCATTTGGTATTGATACAAAAGTTGCACAAGAAAGAATATCCTCAACCTAAAAAAGTTTATTATACTACATTGATACGAAATCCTAAATTTGTTAAACCACTGAAACAACAAATTACTTTTCAGTTTTCTATTTACATTCTTCAGTTCTCTTTTGACTAATTGGTAGTGCTGTTTTATATATATTCCGATGATGAATTGAATCGCCTTGTTGATAAACAAACTGGACGCCAGGAAGCGATCGCTTGTAGTTCATTCATACCCCAAAACACAGTTAAACGATAGAGGGTAGAAGAAATGTTTTCAGGATTAATATTCTATATTGGATTCATAATACCATGTAGAAAAGGTAATAGGCTTAATGATTGTAAGTTTACTGCTTATTATGTTTTGAAATGCTATGGTTGCTTGTCTCAAATGTTACCTCATAAAGGGCTCAATGGCAGGTGCGGGAGTTCATCAAGTGTCACATCTTTTGTGATATTACATGTCATGAAGGTTATTGCCACCTTTGCTGTTGTCATGGCAACATTGTACCCACGTGTTGAGATAAGAGAACTAATCATCAAATGTCCAGATGTTAACAAATGTACATGATGAAATACATGCCACGACAACCAAATCATCACCACATACGACAGTAATAAAATCAATATAAACTCTCCGTATGAACGGTCTTCCACATAACTATTTGAAACATGAATACGACACCCTCGATCCTCCAGTATATTTTATTTCCATTCTATTTTGATAAAGGATCCTATTTGAGACTATAATAGCTTCGTTTCTGAGTCGGATTGACATTCTAATTAAAGTAAAAAAAGAAGTCGAATCAAATTGCAATCATAAGGGAAGCGAACGAGAGTAATGAGAGAAATAAAAATGGCGACGTCAGTTTCGAGAGAGTGAATGAGTGAGTACAAGGGTTACGTTAAACGCCGCTTTTTAAACAGTTTTCCTGTTATATATTCCTGTGTCAGCTGAATTCGGAGAAATCCCAAAGTGATGCAGGCCTTAGACGATTACAACAAACCAAGAAACCAACGATCACAGTATTCTGGTGGGCCCAGGGGAGGCAACTGTGCACAGCGAATGACGGCGCCGAAGCATCTATACCTCAGGTGCCCCAAATCTCTGGATACTCGAAGATATACATATGAAATCTGTCGTCAAACCGAGTGTATATTACACTGTAACATTCATTGTTGTCATAGACGAATTATAGTCTCCAGGAAGAAGAGAAGCAGCGCCCTCTGGATAAAACGGGGGCGTGTCAAACTGGTACAGTGACCAGAATATGTACAAGGCAATCCCTATCCCCATGATAGTACAGAGGCCAACGGTCAGCCCGATTTTAACCCACTTGTTCTGCTTCAAACTGGCCATGTCCTCCAGATGGTCCATCATTGCTTGGGTTTTTGATTCATCTTCGTCGATGCTGCCGACCCCGCACAGGTAGTTGAAAATGCGACGCCCGACGCCAGGAGATTCTAGATATCGTAAAATAGGAAACAATGAACACAGTAAACGTCATAAGTTGGCTTGATGGGTAACAGGATACACACCAACGGTCAAATCTGGAGGTGGTGGAATTGGGTTTAACGTCGTGCTTGAGAATATTTCGCTCATATGACGACGTGCATGCGTGTGTATGTGTGTGTGAGGCTGCTTGTACTAGCCCAGACTGAAGCTGGTTTTATAGTGCTAGCCCACTGAGATACCATGCCGCAGTGAAGCATGAATACCCCACTCAGACACATTATACTGACTCCGAGCCGACCAGTCCTTGTTGTACCCGTTAATGCCGAGCGCCAGGCAGGGACCAACAAGTCCCATATTTTAACGTCTTTTGGTATGACGCGGTCGGGGATCGAACCCGTGACCTTCCGCACTCCGGGCGGACGCTCTAACCACTACACCACGGAGGCGGTCCTAATCTGGAGGTTAGTGGTTACGTCAAACTAGATTTTGGAGGAATATTTAGTCCGTTTGGATTGTCACTTGTCTCGGACTAACGGACTATTGAAGGTGTCTATCGATAGTCAATGTGTATGCATGGTTTTACTCCAGGTGTATGGTTTAATTCCAGCAACTTATGCGACAGGGTACGCCAGAACTCGTCTGAACACTTGATGAGAATCGAACCTGGACCTTCCACGTGAATGGTGAACGCTTTGACCAATAGGGCTACCTTACCGACCACTGTGTATATATAATTAATATGACAGGACACGAAATAGTCATTTCGTCTTCGACTTCAATATGCCAAAACCACACTTCAGTTTATTTGTATACACAACAACAAGAATGCCTATTTCGATTCAAGATGGAGGAAATGTGTGACAGAACAACGTTGAATCTAAGATGTAAAGATCATTTTTGTTGGTCTGTAATACACCAAACCCTTGTCAGGTACACCAAAACCTGAAACAGTTACAGCAGTCACCTGATGGACAAATTAAGAACTTTGTAATATGTCAAGGACACTGTAGCAAGGACTTGATCTCAATGGCTTCGTGTCGCTTTATACATGTAGTCGGGTCATTAATTGACCCGTGTCCGAGAGCCGCTGAAGACCTGCCTAGTTTGGAAACCGCTGTGAATCGTTTCACACCGATATCTGATAATACTTCAGTCAACGAAAATATTAAAAATGCTACGAAATGGATATTTCAAATACTTCACTGTAACAATCCATATTCCACGGAATCGATCCTAATCTACATTTTTACCTTTGATCTTTATTATTCGTGATTAGATTAAATTACGTGGATCACATAGGTAGATACTAAAGTAATTAAATTTCTCGGTGTAGTAGCATCAGTGTTGATAAAAATGTTTCATTTTACACATCGACAAGAAGATCAGACATCACGTGATCAGACAATACTTAGACAAATGGTGTAGAATGGTCATGCAGATCCTCTGTGAAAATGCGTTGTTTAGAGTTACTTGCCTCATTTTTAAACCTAAGTTCATATAAATACACATTTTGATAATAAGTTTACGTTATGAACGCATTTTGTTCTGTGATTCAACTTTGGTCATTCTACAAAGAGGTTAAATCATCTCACACTGAGGATGGCCTGGATGTTGTCACCTGATCGGACGAACCTATACGAAGACGAGATGTGCAGAGATAATGATGAAAGCATTCGCTCATCACATAAACAACCCGGGTTTGATATGCCATCAGAGTCAACCCAATGTTGTTATGGCCTGTCGCGATATGGGTGTGGTGGAGAGGCTAAAGTCACTCACGTTCTGTCGGTGTTTCGGTCAAATCCGGTGATCTGAACACTTTTTTCTCGTCTCCATCGGCGACCTTGACCTCTACATCGTTCATCTCTACAGCCGGATTGTCTACCCCTGCCTTTTCAACTTGCTCTGCCTTTTTACCTTGACCTCTGCTCAGCTCAATGTCAAGGACATCCGGTTTCCGTGGATCATGACGTGTCCAGTATGTGGTTCGAATTAACTGCAGGCAAAAAAATATGATATGTGATGTGCATTTATAAATATCGGTCAAAAGATAACGTGGTACTCTTTGTCTTATTACTTTGAAAATGCAAAACTAACAAATTGCACTACAGTTTTCAGAAAATGAAGATTTAAATCTTCTGACAATCTTCTTCTGCAAATATACCCACTCGAGCATGAATTTGAAAACAAACGTACATATTTATCGTCTGGTTTTTCGGTGCAGAGGCTGATGACGATGGCGAGGGCTGCGGTGACGAGTGTGATGAAGAGTGAGAAGTACATGTAGTGGAAGTTCTTCACGATGCCAGGCAGCTGATAGCCAGTGTTCTTGGCCCCGCAGTAGGTCTCCCCTTCAAACTGGTACACCATCACCACGAACAGACGCACCATGCCAATTACAAAAGCCACCATTAGAGACCAGAAGGCGCCCTAAAATAAAACAGTAACATCAGAGCTTCTTCAAATATATACAGTATATATTCAAACTGAAAAACAGGTGTCTAAAAGTATATAAGATTTGACAAATACAATGAGTGTTACAGCTCCCGAAACACCTAATATAATTAAATTAGAAAAGGCGGGTACCAAATGACATTCTGTAATGGACCCTATTGTTGAAACCGGCAGCCCACGTTCATCGTTCAGGAAATGCAACACGAAACAGTAAAGTGTGACCAGTGGAGATGTGAAAACAGAGCTATAAACACCACGGAAATAACAACCAGGAAGACACACATGGATCTGAGGTCAATGCAGTAAACTACGGTTATCTCGAACTCGAAGGGACCACTAATATACGCATTCTGGCTAAACATAATAGCGAGTGACGCAAAATGCAGTTCGTTATATCCGTCAGTTCGTATTAAGCGTGTTGGTAACAAACGTAGATTACTGTAAATACAACTTCGGGTTATACGACTGGGACAAGTACCACCCCTAAGATCAGGTCACACAATCTCAAGACCTAACACTGAGGATGTCCGGACCTCGTTCCACACAGGCATATCAGAAGCTCGTCAGTGTTACAGGGTGGAAGCACACGGCATGATTATACGATGGGCAATACAACATTAGCAGGTTCTCCAGGTGGGTATGACATTATAGCAGGTTCTCCAGGTGGGTATGACATTATAGCAGGTTCTCCAGGTGGGTATGACATTATAGCAGCATGTAGGACAAAGCATTGGGAGGACAAACAGCATGGGGTTTTGTTTGAAAGAAGCGCGGTCACAATGTGTTAATCATAAAAGCTTGTATTAAGATTCGCTTGTATGACTTTATGAGCTCGGACAAACCTTCTCGTTGACCCTGGGTACGAGGATGGCAAGCAGGAAGACTGCTGTAAACGGTGGGGCGATGTAGTTGGTGATCTCCTGGATGTAGATGAACACCTGGCCACCCTGGCTCTCTTTGATGACAGGGACCCACGCGATAGACACGCCCACCATCACCACGATAAACACCCTAGCGTCACCATAGGCCAATAATTGGGACATTATTCACATCCATGTAATACAACATACACTACAGAGAGATATTATGTTTCTTTTTCAAATCAAGACTTAAGGAAACAACTGTATGAAGACCACGAAAATAGCCAATACTCAAAATCGTATTTATGGGCACTCTTAGAACCTATAACCCAACATGCACTCCATGTGCTCTTGCGGCACTATCCGATCCCATGCACAACTAGGTACCACCATAAACCACAACGGCTCACCATGCGTCACAATAAACCCCATGCGTTACATTAAACCCCATGCATCACTATCAACCCCATGCATCACTATCAACCCCATGCATCACCATCAACCCCATGCATCACTATCAACCCCATGCATCACTATCAACACCCATGCATCACTATCAACCCCATGCATCACTATCAACACCCATACATCACTATCAACACCCATACATCACGATCAACCCCATGCATCACTATCAACCCCATGCATCACTATCAACCCCATGCATCACTATCAACCCCATACATCACTATCAACACCCATACATCACGATCAACCACATGCATCACTATCAACACCCATACATCACTATCAACACCCATACATCACGATCAACCCATGCATCACTATCAACCACATGCATCACGATCAACACCCAGGCATCACTATCAACCCCATGCATCACTATCAACCCCATACATCACTATCAACCCCATACATCACTATACACCTACATGTCTCACCATACACTACTATTACTCCTTGCTCGACAGTCCTCACCAATGAGCCATAAGACAGGACGGTATGTGTTATCGGATACTTTATCCCAATAATTCTAAGCTTGACGAGTATAAGAACCAACATACCGCCCGACTATCATGAGTTCCGTAAGTGACGCCCTCTGTCGGAACCTCTTCCATATGTCCCTATCAACACCCATGCATCACCATGAACACCCATACATCAGGATCAACCCCATGCATCACTATCAACCCCATGCACCACTATCAACCCCTTGCATCACTATCAACCCCATGCATCACTATCAACCCCATATATCACTATCAACCCCATGCATCACTATCAACACCCATGCATCACTATCAACACCCATACATCAGGATCAACCCCATGCATTACTATCAACCCCATGCACCACTATCAACTCCTTACGCATCACTATCAACACCATACATCACTATCAACCCCATACATCACTATCAACTCCCACGCATCACTATCAACACCATACATCACTATCAACACCCATGCATCACCATCAACACCCATACATCACGATCAACCCCATGCATCACTATCAACCCCATGCATCACTATCAACCCCATACATCACTATCAACCCCATACATCACTATCAACACCATACATCACTATCAACCCCATGCATCACTATCAACCACATGCATCACTATCAACACCCATACATCACGATCAACACCCAGGCATCACTATCAACCCCATGCATCACTATCAACCCCATGCATCACTAACAACCCCATGCATCACTATCAACCCCATGCATCACTATCAACCCCATTCATCACTATCAACCCCATACATCACTATCAACCCCATGCATCACTATCAACCCCATACATCACTATCAACTCCCACGCATCACTATCAACCCCATACATCACTATCAACCCCATTCATCACTATCAACCCCATACATCACTATCAACCCCATGCATCACTATCAACCCCATACATCACTATCAACCTCATGCATCACTATCAACCCCATGCATCACTATCAACCCCATGCATCACCATCAACACCCATACATCACTATCAACCCCATGCATCACTATCAACCCCATACATCACTATCAACCCCATGTATCACTATCAACCCCATGCATCACTATCAACCACATGCATCACTATCAACACCCATACATCATGGTCAACGCCCAGGCATCACTATCAACCCCATACATCACTATCAACACCCATACATCACTATCAACCACATGCATCACTATCAACCACATGCATCACGATCAACACCCATACATCACGATCAACACCCAGGCATCACTATCAACACCCATACATCACGATAAACCCCATGCATCACTATCAACCCCATGCAGCACTATCAACCCCATATATCACTATCAACCCTATACATCACTATCAACCCCATGCATCACTATGAACCCAATACATCACTATCAACTCCTAATGCATCACTATCAACACCATACATCACTATTAATCCCATGCATCACTATCAACACCATACATCACTATCAACCCTATGCATCACTATCAACCCCATACATCACTATCAACCTCATGTATCACTATCAAACCAATGCATCACTATTAACACCCATACATCACGGTCAACCCCATGCATCACTATCAACCCCTATGCATCACTATCAACCACATGCATCACTATCAACACTCCATACATCACGGTCAACGCCCAGGCATCACTATCAACCCCAAACATCACTATCAACACCCATACATCACGATCAACCCCATGCATCACTATCAACCACATGCATCACGATCAACACCCATACATCACGATCAACACCCAGGCATCACTATCAACACCCATACATCACGATCAACCCCATGCATCACTATCAACCACATGCATCACGATCAACACCCAGGCATCACTATCAACCCCATGCATCACTATCAACCCCATACATCACTATCAACCCCATACATCACTATACACCTACATGTCTCACCATACACTACTATTACTCCTTGCTCCACAGTCCTCACCAATGAGCCATAAGACAGGACGGTATGTGTAGTTATTTGATACTTTATCCCAATAGTTCTAAGCTTGACGAGTATAAGAACCAACATACCGCCCGACTATCATGAGTTCCGTAAGTGACGCCCTTCTGTCGGAACCTCTTCCATATGTCCCTATCAACACCCATGCATCACCATGAACACCTATACATCAGGATCAACCCCATGCATCATTATCAACCCTATGCACCACTATCAACCCCATGCATCACTATCAACCCCATGCATCACTATCAACCCTATATATCACTATCAACCCCATGCATCACTATCAACACCCATGCATCACCATCAACAATTTTTAATACATCAGGATCAACCCCATGCATCACTATCAACCCCATGCACCACTATCAACTCCTACGCATCACTATCAACACCATACATCACAATCAACCCCATGCATCACGATCAACCACATGCATCACTATCAACCCTAATGCATCACTAACAACCCCATGCATCACTTTCAACCACATGCATCACTATCAACCCTATGCATCACTATCAACCCCATGCATCACTATCAACCCCATACATCACTATCAACTCCCACGCATCACTATCGACACCATACATCACTATCAACCCCATGCATCACTATCAACCCTATACATCACTATCAACCCCATGCATCACTATTATCAACCCCATTCATCACTATGAACCCTATATACATCACTATGAACCCCATGCATCACTATCAACCCCATATATGTCACCATCAACTCCCTCTTACGCATCACTATCGACACCAAACATCACTATCAACCCCATGCATCACTATCAACCCCATACATCACTATCAACCTCATGTATCACTATCAACCCCATGCATCACTATTAACACCCATACATCACGGTCAAGCCCATGCATCACTATCAACCCCATGCATCACCATCAATCCCATTCATCACTATCAACACCCATGCATCACTATCAACCCCATACATCACTATCAACCCCATGCATCACTATCAACCACATGCATCACTATCAACACCCATACATCACGGTCAACGCCCAGGCATCACTATCAACACCCATACATCACGGTCAAAGCCCATGCATCACTATCAACCCCATACATCACTATCAACCCCATGCATCACTATCAACCCCATTCATCACTATCAACCCCATGCATCACTATCAACCCCATGCATCACTATCAACCCCATACATCACTATCAACCCCATGCATCACTATCAACCCCATACATCACTATCAACCCCATGCATCACTATCAACACTCATACATCACTATCAACACCCATACATCACGATCAACCCCATGCATCACTATCAACCACATGCATCGCGATCAACACCCATACATGACGATCAACACCCAGGCATCACTATCAACCCCATACATCACTATCAACCCCATGCATCACGATCAACCCCATACATCACTATCAACCCCATGCATCACTATCAACACCCATACATCACTATCAACCCCATGCATCACTATCAACCCCCTACATCACTATACACCTACATGTCTCACCATACACTACTATTACTCCTTGCTCCACGTTGCACAGTCCACACCAATGAGCCATAAGACAGGACGGTATGTGTAGTTATTGGATACTTTATCCCAATAGTTCTAAGCTTGACGAGTATAAGAACCAACATACCGCCCGACTATCATGAGTTCCGTAACTGACGCCCTCTGTCGGAACCTCTTCCATATGTCGATGGTGAAGAGAGTACTAGCGCTGTTGAAGATGGAGTCAAGGTCACTCATTAAAGCTGCCACCATCACCGCCATCATGAGGCCGCGGGCACCTGCATGTAGGACAACATGTAGGAGGTTTACCCGCTCTTCGGACAGTATTTCCTTTTATCAAGCTGTGTCAGATTTATGGGGTTGGGGGTGGGATGTGTGTTTGAAGTCATGAAGTTCTTGGGCATTAACAGCTTTGGACATTAACAAGCACGAATCAAACTCAGGAGGAATCAGGGCAATCATAGACACATTGTCACACATTTATGTTATATCCTGAATGATGCACAACATAACCGGTTATGACATCATTTTTTCTTTCAGTTACTCTTGAACTCCGGGTGTAACACGAGGAAATAACTCAACAGGATTTTGACACCTGAGAGTTTAACAAATATTACTTTACAGCACTCCAACTTACCGTCTGGCATGAGACCCAGGACGAGTCGAGGGAAGGCGATGTTTGTACACCCAGCCTTGCTCTGACACACCTCCATACAGAAGTCGGGATTGGTGCAGGCTACCTCGTCTGTGGACACATGGGTAAATTCATGTCAGTGCACTAGTATCTATGAACGATCAATTTAGTACATTAAAGGGGAAGTGTACACGATAAAATCACATTTATTCTTATGTGAACCAAACTGAAATATTTTAATTATTTAATATCACTGTTTGAAATTATACACTCATTTTTCTTACAATGACAGTATAACCCTCAAAATAAGTGCTGAAATGTTATGCCATTATGTTTATGCGGCCCTAAATGCCGAGCTAAACAGGTCAGAGTTACCGCCCTTTGATTATGACGTAATTTTGGTGCCACTTGATTTTAGACTGGTCTCCTGTCTAGTCCCAAATCAAAAGATAATAATACTGAAATTTATCACGTGAGAAAAGTTTGTGAAAATACGAAAGAAGCATAAGAACTGAAAATGTAATCAGCAGGACAGATTGATCGTGTGTATTTTCATTCATAACCTCACCTCGATGAAAATACCAAATATGTGTAACAATGTGTAACTACGTATGGCATCACTATTGAGAATTCTAAGATCCCTAGCGGTTAGAACAATCGAAAAAAAATACATTATCAGACAATTAAGGTATAGTTTTTGATGACGTAACAATTGAATGACGTTTTCCCGTCACTGCGCCATTCTCTAGTGTGCCCCCTCGTAATCGAACCATTTTACATTACGTCACAATGTAAGCGACGTCACGATGCATGTCAGTTGTCATCGCCTCGTACGGCCTCCTACAGTAAGCTACACCATTGCATCCAGTTTCTTGGTTTGCTGTTGCTTCACGCAGCTAACATCACTGGTGGAAACAATACGTTTATGTTTTACGACGGTTAAAATGTGTCATTTCGACTCACAAGTTTTCAGAAGCGACACGGTAACGTTCGTAATGTTTACATTCCACAATGCAATTGTGGAATGTAAGCTTTACCACTCAACTTCCTCTGGATGTACTGATCTAAACTTACGCTGGTAGTAGAAATGCAACGTTCATATTGCCCCATATGGTTTACGTTAATGACAGATGTAATTAAAATAATTCAGAGAAGATATTTAATCCGAACGTAAACCGTCATCAAACTGTTATCATTTGTTTTTTCTGGTAACGTTCTTTCACCTCTTAACGTAGGTGGCAGACACATCAATAGAACAGCGCGCCAGTTAGCCCTGTGCGAGAATTCTTACTTTAGGTCACCGACACCGTCGTTTGTTTTCTGCCTTAAATTAATCGTAATTCTACCATGACTTCAGTAAACACTGGATTGTGATTGGTTAATTAAAGTCATTCAGAGGTTTATAATCACGTTATACTTGGTCTCTGATTTTCCGTGCGCAATTATACATGGTTTACGGTAATGCACTATTTTTGTCTGCCCACCCAACATGGCGGACACCAAACAACCTACCGATGCATCGATAAATTACGGCGATCTTGCTGTCCTGAAATTACACATATGTCTTTAAAGATGGATTTAGCGATGACGGGCTCGACTCAATACTTGCGTAAATCACAGCAATAGGTGTTTATACATACAAAAGTACTTCGAAAGCATGGAAACAAATACTCAGTCGAACAAGATCAAAACATCGTCTGCTTTCCGAATAAAAATCAGCAAGAACAAATATGTTTACGTTGATTCTATGTTATGTCAGAATAGATCCAGCAATAGACTGCTACATAATTTCCGTGTTAAATTTATTATCAGCTTTCGTCAACGATATCGCTACTGATCTTGATCCGGTAACGGAGGATGCATTAACATCGAACGCCGAAGAAATTTGAATCCCTTCCGTCCACATAAATAAACAGTTGGGTTATCAGTTCAAACAAAATGATATTTTGAAATTTGTACTTGTTTCAAATTTAGCGGTAGTAATTACAGAATCTGCAAACCGTTCTGCTTAGCCCAACATATTTTTCTAAAAGTATAATATCGTTGAAAAGGTTATTTAGCTTGATCCCTCTTATCCATTACACTGCTTGATCTAAAGTAGTCTATTAAAGTATAATTAATTACCTTACCGTGTTTATGCCAGAGGTACACCCTCATGTCCTGTTCCATCCTTTCGGAAATATCACCACAAATCTGGCTCTTTGTCAACAGCCTCGCGAACATGCCAGCGAATCCGATTCAATTTGAATTCACTACACTTTGAAGCCACTAGGTCACAAAACACTTTCCAAAATGTAAAAAATAATATCCGTAGAATCGAATTTGAGCACAAAGTACACACATGAGTGTGTAAGGGTCACCACAGCTGTCGCACGCAGACGTAGAGGTGCGTGAAATCGTCAAGTTGACAGGGCGCAAAATTCAACAGTATCTAAATTCGGTACAACACGGACTTCTCGTTACAGCAAAAGCGCCTCTACTCTTAAATTTTGTACCAGTACCAGTAATTAGATATCAAAGACTATCTCAGTCATACAATCAGGTTAACCCTGCGCAAACTGTCAGAGGCTCTCCTGTCGCATCTTTTCAAATTTGCACGTAAATGTAAACATTTGCTGCCATTATTCTGGTGGGGAAAGGGTCTACGGTCGAATTTTCAAATGTGAACCAAGCTTTTTAAACTTATTTGATATATGTTTTCCAACTTATCAGTTAATGATCGATGATTAATGCATTGAAAAAACAAACCGTGATTTGTTATTACTGAATCTGGAGTTTGTTAGTTATTGACGGTCTGCCACCAATCACCCGTTTCGGGCGATGCCACTTGAGATTGGAATGCGAGTATTGACTCATAACCAAAGAAAGAATTCCACCTGAAATTGTTCATAAAATAGTCATGGTAGAATGGAGATAAAACCCTGTGTGGGAAAATCAGAGAGTATATAACGAAATTATAATAGCTCTAATTACTCATTTAAAACCTCACGCTACGCGTTCGGTTTTAAATGAAATTTAGAGCTATTATAATTTCGTTATATACCTCTGATTTTCCCACACAGTAGGTTAATCTCTTAATTATCTTTAGAAAGTATTAAATTTGGCATCTTAGAAAAGAAATACACTTCGCCCTACCACCATGTATAGTGTAATAAAACACACTTTTTGCCCTGAACTATTATAGTTAAAGCACGAGGACAGAGCTCATTTCTTAAGCAAAAAATGGCGTGTTCACTGACACGAGTACACCGGATTTTTCGAGGGAAAATTTCGTTGTTTCAAGCAACGTATATACATAAATGTGACATGTAAGTAGTCCGAAACATTCTGACAATCTGCTGGTTGTTATTTTCCTTTTGTTTTCATTGTGACCAAGGGAGGAGAATTTCCATCTTGGGTGTTCGTGAGTTTGCGTCAATCATGGCGTCACGCTTTCAGAAACTATAATATGTTGTGATGAATCTCGGAAATCATTGGAATACACCTATTTTATTTAACTACCGCTTGCTACTATACCATTCCCGTGCATGGTATAAAACTAATGAGCAAGTGTATGCAACAAAAGTAGGCGAACAGATACACAGAGTGAAATCTGAGATTGACTTTGTTTACATTACAAACAAGTGGTCCTTTCCCAGCGCGGCATCTGATATATTTCGTTAGTTTTTACTGAAACACTTGGTAGTGGAAGGCCATTTGTCATATTATTTTGAACTGTATGAGGAATTCCGGGATTCGTGTAAGTGTACGTATGACGTGATTTTATAAACACTCTGCAATATGGCTGAAAATTCACTTTGACGTTAACTGTGCGTATTTTAAAAACATTCTCAGCGATTCTCTGTTGAATCGACAATGTTTCAGAACGAGCATTGGTGATTCGATCAAACAACAACAAATACCGATGATCACAATGATACGGGTTTTTGGTGTTGTTGTTTTTTGTCTCTTAAATTCAATTCTCCCAGCAAAATTTGACATTTGAATTAAGACATCTGGTCAATACTATAAATTACGCAAAACACAGTGAATGGGGATTTCGTAATCTGTCCAAACTGGCCAGATTTACGATGCATGTAATTTTCAGTATATTTGCCTTACAATGGGCGTCATAGAAATGGTGTCATAGAAAAACGAATTTCAAACAGAATTAAAAACTGCCACTTCATTTATCTTCGTGATGTATTTGGATAATTATGGTATCGATAGGTAGGAAGAGTGGATTTATGTAGGAATTAAGTAACAAACATTCACTGATGGCAAGCTAGGTGTAGTGCATAAACGTTTTAGTTTTTGTGAAAAACGATACTGTTGAATGACGACCGACTCAGGTTGAATGTTGTAGTATTTGGTTACGTGGTAACACTGTTTGTACAATGTATACGTTTTTGTATACAACTGCAACGTCATCACAGTGTGGAACTGACCACATAGCCAGCTGACGGCCAGGCAACAGCTGGATTAAAACAGTAGCCTGCGCATCGAGACACTAGAACCACACCTATACCTGCATCACGTGAAATGTGTCTAACAACGTCATTCGTTTATCGGTTTGGCACCAATGACGTCATTTCCAAGGGACATAAGCCATGGTGTGTTTACTGTGGACATAGAACACTCGGTAAATGTGGAAAATTTGAATCGATATAACGCAAAAAATAAATTAGTTACTTCTGATATTTGTACTGTTTTGTCTATAAAACTACTTGACAAACACGTTTTATGATGAAAATGTGCAAGACAAAAAGGTTAATTTTCGTGTAAACTTGCCCTTTTCAAGCATCACAGTATCGAATGGCTTCACAGTATTTAAGCCGTTCAGACGCGAGTAACACATGGAGGTAACATATTATGACTTGTTTTATATCAAACCAGAATATTGCTGGGTGACGCCTCAAACAACAAAGAAACAGAAACATCTATCCAGCGTTCCTAGGTACACCCCTCACACCTATATTCCACTTTGCAGTGTACACCTTATTCTACATAGCTGACTACACTTGGTAAACATGTATTCAGCACAGCTGTGTCTGTTTGGACACTTGTATTCCATATAGCTGTGTACACCTGCCTGGTAACCTGGTCCACATAGGTGTGCGCACTTCGTACACCTGGCTAGCTATTCTCAAAACGTTCATAGCCCTACGAACTTCTTAAGCCCATTCTTAACATATTGGCTACGATCAAAGTTAAGAATTCTTAGAGCTACGAACGTTTCGAGAATAAAGGCCCTGTAATCTACATAGAAGTTTACACCTGGTACACCTGTATGCCACATAGGTGTGCGCACTTGGTACACCTGTAATCTACATAGCATTTTACACCTGTATTCCACATAGTTGTATACTTGGTACACCTGTATTTCACGTACCTGGATACAGGATCCTGCTAACCATGCCTGGCATGACCATGATGAACATGGGGAGGATTTTGATGAAGCCGGCCATCAGGGTAGCCCCTTGGGCATGGGAGACACTCTTCGCGGCCAGTGCACGTTGCACGATGACCTGAGAAAACACGACATGAAGAAAGAATTGAACACACCGTGTATGGTTGGAAACTTAACGTTGTCACTATACCAACATAATCAATGGATGATCATTTCAGTGTCCTGTGACCCACCTGGTCAGTGCACCAGTACCAGATGGAACCCGGGGTCTGTCCGAGCAGGAATCCGAGCCACGGCATGTAGTCGTCGTCCACCTCCCGCAGCATCCTGAACGCCTGCTTGTCGGGGTGGTGACACGTCGTCCCGGGGACGATGGAGCTGGCGTTCCTTGGCACGGCCTGGGGGTACTTTTCCAATAGTCCACTAAAGCCACCGATCTCATTAAACCCTGCAATATATAACAATTACTTTTGTATGTTTCACGTTTAAAACAGACTGAGAGACAGATACGACTACTTGATGATAGATGACACTGGACTTCAAAAGAAGTTAACGTACACCAACTGTATAACAGGTGACCAGAAGCTGTGCCCAAGTCCTAGATTGGAATCCTAGAATCATTCGATTAACATCATTAGTAAGTTCGCTTACGGTTTATCTTGTGTTTTGCGATATCTTTGTCATTGCTCATGTGCTCGATTCGAGTATTTTTCGTCTCTTTGTTGTCCTTTACGCCCAATGTTCGACTGGCGTTGTTGTCTAACATTCATATCATATACTCGGAGATGTGTAACACCTCCTTCCATAAGGCCTTTCCACCAATATACCAATCTGGTGATACGTTGTGATATAGCTGAAATATTATTTGAAGATGCATGAAAGTCAATACACAAACACACTCTCTCGTCAAGACGTCTTGCTGTTGCTCAGATATAGGTGAAGCGCTCGTACAATATCCAACATTCACTGGCACCCGAGTCTTACCTACTCCAGTGAGATACACTGCTCCCGTCAGCATGAGAATCGCCTGCAGCGTGTCTGTGTAGATTACAGCCGTCAGACCACCTGTTGACAAGTACATGATTATCATCGCATATTGTCGCAACATCATGTATCATGTAGACATGAAGCTGTTACTGACAACGTCCTAATTAAAGTGTCAATGTAGGGATGTCAAATCATGCAATGCGAGGAACACGACGTTTCAGAATACATTCTCACCCCATATCGCCTGATCAAAATTGTAAGGACATACTCCGTAAGTCGTGTTTCCCTTTTTACCAACTGACATCTATAAATTCCCCAATATTTGTATCACTTCTATTTCAAGACTTCAATTTCCTTATTGTTTGTAGTAACGTTAAGGCTACAAAATGTACCCTTTTAGCAGGAGAATGCTGAGTCAAATCACTGAGTCAATACATGTACATGTTCACGTGTTCACACATGACGGAAAGAAGATGAACATGTTTTATCTTGATAACGGTGTTAGCATCTATAGCTACACCGAAATTTTGCATCCATTGCAATAAAGAAGTTGTCTTATCATAATACGTGTTCGTCTTCGTCATACCAGGTTCTGAAGTGCCACTTCGAGAAGATGGGAAGAGAAGCATGTTAAGTACAGTTTACCTTCAGTTTGCCGATGGTAATAACTATAAAAACACTAAGGTGGTCAAGACTGTCCACTGCAGGTACTGACTGTTATATAACAGTACACACTGGGGATGTCCTGGTCAATACTTGACCATGTGTCACCATACCCACAGTGGTAAACACGATCCACTTTATGGATGAACAACTTCTTTATTCAGGTGATGAGACGTTTCGATACAGATTCTTGTATCGTTGAAATACACAATGCCATTTAGAAAGTGGACAAATGTAACATATGTTATATTTGGGATTGCACATTCTTAGTAAAGTACAGATTCTAGTACTTTTGTGGGGTTGAGTCCCATCGCCATCCACTCTGAGGGTGTGGGTTCGAATCCCAGATGGGACTCAACCCAACAAAAGTACTACAATCTGTACTTTACTAAGAAAGTGCAATCCCAAATATAACATATGTTACGTTCTTGTATCATTGTCAAGCAGATATAGTTTCGATACAGATTCTTGTATCGTTGTCAAGCAGATATAGTTTCGATACAGATTCTTGTATCGTTGTCAAACAGATATAGTTTCGATACAGATTCTTGTATCGTTGTCAAACAGGTGTAGTTTCGAAACAGATTCTTGTATCGAAACGTCGCATCACCTGAATAGAGAAGTTGTTCAACTCTCAAACTTCTAAAAATGCCGCTCAAAGACGTCATGACCCAGAGACCCATGCACGTAGGTCTTCTGTGTATGCTGACAACACACGGTGTAGTTACCTGTAATTGTGAGGACAGCTGTGATGAGAACCAGAAGCACGATACTCAGGTACAGGTCCCACTTGAGAGACTGCTGTATGAAGAGGGCACCGGTGAACAGGTCCCCCTGCAACACACACGTAACGGATTGAGACGCTAAAGCTGTGTGTGCCTGTATGTACATTACTGCCTTGGTTCAAACCTTCGACTTATGTATTCTGTAGTAAATAGATGGCCTCTGTACTCACTCCATAAACTTACTCCACTTTCTCTTCACTTTATTTCATCTTTTGACCCGTGAGGATCTGGGGCTCTTTTCAGGAAGCAACCTTTACTAAGGTTAACCTTAACTCCCATTCTTTAACATTGCACTAAGGTTACCTTAGTGACTTACGATCACCTTGGTGCTTTGTGAAAGGAGGCCCTGGTCTTCAGAAACCCATGCTTCTGATAAGAGGCAACTAACGGCATTGGGAGGTCAAACCGCACTGACTTGGTCGATGCATGTTATCGTATCCCAGTTGCGTGGATGGATGCTCATGATGTCAATCACTGGATTGTCTGATCCAGACCTCATTATATACATTGTGGAATATTGCAGCATTAAACATATTCTCTTGATTCATTCTATATTTTCTTCACTCACTCTCTTAACTCAATGCATTTTCTCTAACCGCTTTTCGCTCAGCATGGAACCTTGTGAAGATGTACCAGCAGCCTAATGATAGAGGCAAGCTTATTAAGCCAATGCTGCACAGTAGTCTGTATGTTAATAACCTTGAACACGGTACTTACAGAGCATTTCGTGAAGATGTAGAGGATGAGGGAGAGAAAGGCGAAGTACACTCTCATCCTGGTTCCCCCAAATCTCTTGGAGAGATACTCGGGCATGGTGTAGGTCTGTACAGAAGAGACAGAGGGGTTTAGTGGACGTTGTAGACATTTTGCAAGCCAAAAATCTAGATTGGACAGGGTATATTAATTAAGTTTCATTGCAAACTGGAAATAGAAAAGGTGGTAAGACCATCAGTAAGTTTTATGTGTTTCTCATCTCCAACACCCGCTAGCTGGCGGGCGAAATAAATAACTCTTAAAATTAAAAAAATTTTTGAGTACGAGTGTTTTGACTAATTGTGTGTAAATTAGATTATGATTAATTTTGCTTCGGTCACTTTTTATGATTTAATGGACATGGAGAAGGGCCACCTTGGCCTGTTTTTTGCGAGTTTGCAATGATAACAGTATTAGTGTGATAACAGTATTTGTGTGATAACAGTATTTGTTATCAAGTCAGAGTATATCCACATCAGCTGGATAATTGAGCTTACACAACTTTATATCATTTCACACTGGAAAATTCAGGGAAAGCAGGATGTTGGAAAAGAACAAATACAGAAAGCCTTACATACGTTGCACGTGATGCAGATACATTCTCTGGTAATTCTATAAATCAATAGGTTATAATGATCTCCTTACAACTAATAGAACCTTCGTTCTTGGTCTGTGACTAGCACCTCCACTTACCCCACATGCAATATACACGGGTACGAAGATCCACCCAAGGAGCTGTAGAAGCATCAGGGCCTGTGTGGAAGAGTGAGTGAGGGAATGAGTGAGTGAGTGTGGTCTACTGTACATAAAGGCAGTAACTTACTGAAAAAGCATCGTGATTCCTATCCCGTGTGTATCTCAAGGTGAAATGGAGGCTTCGGTGTAGCCACCGGTTAAAGCATTCGGTCGTCACGATGAGGACTTGGGTTCGATTTTGCACAAAGGTAAATTTTTTTGTGGAGACCAGAAATGAGCTTCACAAAAATTGTACCTTGTGCAAAATCGTGCTCATTTCTGGTCTCCCCCGCCGTAATATTGGTCTCTCATTCACTCACAGATGGAACATACTCACTCACTCACTCACTAACTCTGATATGAAGTCAGTACCAGAGCAGACAAAATACCGTGGACAGCAGGGCCCACTAGCATAGCGCATTTCTAGTTACAAACTATCTTAGCCCACAATCACATTGTGCAAGAGAATGGCGATTGGAGCCGAAGCTTAATTTCAGGGATTTACAACAATTGTAGCACTGCAATTGTTTTATACGATTAGCTTTTCATTATAAATATAGTGTAATCTACAATAATTATTACAGAAAAGCATATTAATATGTCAATGACTTGCTGTTCAATGGTGTATGTACCACACAGTCCAGAAGATGCAGCCTCTGTGTCTCTGGGTACTCACGTTAAGCTCCCACGCCCCAACACTGATACCATTTCCGGCTCCAGAGCCTGCGAGGCCGATGAAGTGCTCGGTGCCAATGTTGCTGACAAACAGGGAGGCTCCGATCTGAAACCATAGCACTATGTATAGAAGTCGTCAACGTCAGGCAGTAACCAGTCTCCATTATCTGCTGATAAAGATTCAATTTGACATAAAGGACCAAATAGTGCAAACAATTATATGAATAGATGGACTGATGTTCCATTGACGAATCACAAGTCGTGACAACAACCACAGCCGAATAAGGACCAACAACGCTATACACAACATAGAAGGTACAAACAATATGGATCAAAAACGCTATACACAACTTAAAATGTACAATCCACATGGACCAACCATGCTATACACAACTTAAAAAGTAAAAACAATATTGACCAACCATGCTATACACAAATTACAAGGTACAAACAATATGGACAACAGCGCTATACAAAACAATATGGACCAACAACGCTATACACAACTTAAAAGGTACAAACAATATGGACCAACAACGCTATACACAACTTAACAACGCTTACAAACAATGGACCAACCATGCTATACACAACTTAAAAAAACGCTATACCAGCTACCGGCAAAACAATATGGACCAACAACGCTATACACAACTTAAAAGGTACAAACAATATGGACCAAAAACGCATACCAGCTTACCGGCAAAACTTAAACCAGGTATACAATATGGGACCAACTATACCAGCTTACCGGCAGAAACAATATGGACCAACCATGCTATACACAACTTAAAAAGTAAAAACAATATTGACCAACCATGCTATACACAACTTAAAAGGTACAAACAATATGGACCAACAACGCTATACACAACTTAAAAGGTAAAAACAATATGGACCAACAACGCTATACCAGCTTACCGGCAGAAACAATATGGAGAAACCATGCTATACACAACTTAAAAGGTACAAACAATATGGACCAACAACGCTATACCAGCTTACCGGCAGAAACAATACCAACAACGCTATACACAACTTAAAAGGTACAAACAATATGGACCAACAACGCTATACACAACCATGCTATACACAACTTAAAAGGTACAAACAATATGGACCAAGAACGCTATACCAGCTTACCGGCAGAAACAATATGGACCAACAACGCTATACACAACTTAAAAGGTACAAACAATATGGACCAACAACGCTATACCAGCTTACCGGCAGAAACAATATGGACCAACCATGCTATGCACAACTTAAAAAGTAAAAACAATATTGACCAACCATGCTATACACAACTTAAAAGGTACAAACAATATCGGACCAACAACGCTATACACAACTTAAAAGGTACAAACAATATGGACCAACAACGCTATACACAACTTAAAAGGTACAAACAATATGGACCAACCATGCTATACACAACTTAAAAGGTACAAACAATATTGACCAACCATGCTATACACAACTTAAAAAGTAAAAAGTAAAAACAATATTGACCAACCATGCTATACACAACTTACAAGGTACAAACAATATGGACCAACCATGCTATACACAACTTAAAAGGTAAAAACAATATGGACCAACAACGCTATACACAACTTAAAAGGTACAAACAATATGGACCAACAACGCTATACACAACTTAAAAGGTACAAACAATATGGACCAACAACGCTATACCAGCTTACCGGTAGAAAAGACATTGACCTCCCTGCCAGAAAGTAGCCACTGACTGTGTTCCTCTTGGCACGGTACATCGCCTGGAAGGAATCAGAATCTAAAGCCATATGGCTGATGTTACGAGGAATGATCATATGCTATGTTAGATTGCACTATATTATACTGTACTTAACTTATACTTTACTATACAATTATGTACTTCAATATAGTGTATCCTACTATAACATACTGTACTGTACTGGGTCGTAATGCACGGTAGTGTACTATGTTGCATCTGTACTGCACTATACTATCTTCCATTTACTAACTATGCTTTATAATTGCTTGATTATTTGACGTGTTACTGAGACGCGTGTCTTTTCACAGGCACATGCAGGAACGGTCAGTTCAGACATGGAATGATCATTTATGATAATTGGAACTTACAAAGATGCCCACACCGATAACAAGGACGAAGTAACCAATGACGACGCCGACGTCGGCCGACGTCAGTCTCGACTCACTGTTGTATGCCATTGTTGATGTATCTGCAAATAACAAACAGAAAACGTCAAGATATATGTAATAACACTCATGATGAGATATGCTATATAGTATGACAGATGTGTCCTGTGATATATAGTTTGTTATCGCACTGTGTGACTATTAAGATAATACAGCAATATATAATGTATGATTGCATTATTAGTACATATTGTATATTGTATTAGTTGTATGAATGGTGAGATATTAGAACGATATATTATGCAATAAAGCATGATTAGTCAGTGATGTATGTTGTCTTACGTGTATAGATGGTGAGATATTACAGTGGTATACCATCTACATGTTGAAACGTACAAATGATGACATTTTGTATTGACATACAATTGACAAGTACATAGGTGATGGAATGCTACACCAAATAAATAGTTTGGCTGTAGAGGGGATGACATTGCGGCAAAACTACCTAGGTTATGAGACATTAAGACGATATACAATATATTAGCGTACAGGGGATATTGGGGTTACTGATGAATATATACTACAAACAAAAAGTATAGGAACACTCTAAAATTTGATAGTCATATATAGACTTACACGTGGTGAGGTCATGCATACTCTAAGGTAAATGCAACTTTGTGTGTGCTTAATGGACACTTTAAACGACATGTTGGAACATGCAGTGAAGCAACTGATTCAATATTCGTTGTGTTTGAGTGAAATGAAACATTATAATAACAGCGAAAAACAAGGGCGCTGAAACACACCAGCAGCATGTTTGATGCAAACGCCCAAACACAACAGCCTAGTGCGAGATATTATATATACAATGAGGCACTATACAGATGATGGGATGTTAAGAAGATATACCATGATGTATACCAAGACTATACGTTACTCTTTGATGATGAGACGTTAGGCCTTTGACGTTAGGACGTTAGACATTAGACCTTTGAGCAGCTGAGCTGGATATCGGCGCTATACAAATGTTAGTATGTATGCATTACAGTGGTTAACTGTGTTTGTGATGAGATGTTTACACGATAGATGTTTAGATATACGATATTTTACTACATATATACAGGTGATGCATTATTGATGCGATATTCAGTTTATCATCCAAAACTGTGTTCCACAGGAGATATCGCTTGTGTGAGGTCAAACGATATCTCCTAGGAGATATCGTTTTGACAGTAGATTTTGTACAATGCCCTGACAATGCTATGACGTCATGAACTTGATGACGTCACAATGCTATGACATCGCTGCTCTGCAAGTCTAATGGCAGTACAGTGTTAAGAAATGTACATGTTTCATTGAAAACTAATGAAGAGTGATTTTGGATGATAAATAGAATTCACCCTCGTGTCTTCCGATATCAATTATATCAACACTTGTTTATAAAAATAAAATATCCTCGGCAAGCCTCGGATATTTGTAACTTTATCAACTTGTGTTGATATAATTGATATCAGTAGACACTTGGGTGAGATTATCTATGTATCACTGTATGGGTGATGAAAGCGAAACAATGCAGCTGTATGTGTGATGAGACATTACGAATACATACAATGCAGCTTTGTACAGGTTTCATATTAATGTCATATATCACTGAATACCATGAGTGGTGAATTATTGTAGTGATGTACAATTCACAAACGGGACCATTAAACAAGCTTTAGGAATGCATGTTGGTATAAGCTAATTCCAAGGGATACTCAAAGGTTTCCCTTGAACGAGTTTTGTTTGTTTGTAAACGCGTTCAGAAGTTTCTCGAACGATCAAACCTGTGGCTCAAGTAAACAACCACGGCGAAATACCTCTACTGTACTCTCTATATAGTACAATTAATGTATTCTGAAAACTCCACTTGCTGCTGTTTAATCCGGCCACCTCTACAGTAGATATTGTATTTCTAGGAGGTATATTTTGCTGCCAGCGATAATTAATGTATTGGGGTCAAATGCAAAATATGCTGAACCCACTGAAATGGGTTAATATCAAACACCTATCCAAACAAATCTCCTACCTGTTCGATACTACAACTATAACACCTCTGAAGGAGACACTATCCTCACTGTGACCCCTTGACTGTGCTTGTCGTTGAGGCAATGTTGACAGTGAAAGGTCACGGTAATATGTCTCCGTCTAATGTAAGAACAGGTGTATGAATTTAATGTACCGGAGGTGGACGGGTAATACATAAATATTAGAAAAAATTGTGTCAGTTTTGAAATACCCCTTGGTATGTTTTCAAGCTAATGTGATATTTGATATGTTATATTTCGGCGTTGTAGGTCTTAGGGTAGTATAAAAGCTATAATGTTTGGTCTATATCGGCTTTATAAATATTGACCAAATCTACATATTTCCAATTGTTTACATTACCCAGTTTCCGCACAGAGAGGAATACATTCCCCATACAAGCAAGCATATGCGTTACAATGGAAACTCCCCACGGGTATAGTACAAGGGTGGCGAGTGTATAACACTTTCAGAACCAAGGTACCACAACAGATGTGCCAGGCAACAGTAAAGATGCATCCAGAACACTGGTACACCAAGTCTACTTCAGTATATCATTACATACAGTATTTACACACAATGAACATAATATTCTTATAAAATTCCGAGCAGGCATATTACGATTAAAAATAAATGAAGGAAGATGGTTAAATATTGATGTATCTCTACGCACATGTCCTGTCTGTAAACTCGGCATAGAGGATGAATTCCATTTTCATTTAGTATGCAAATATTATTCTGAAGAAAGATTCTATTATTTTCCACATATTTACAACCGGATTCGAAATATATTTATATTCAAAAACCTGCTAACTTCTTCTTCAAATGAAGCATTATTAAATCTATGCAAATTCATATATACTGCTTATAAAAAGAGACAGACTTTGTTAAACTCTTAATTGGTTTACATCATGTTTCCAATATATTTTGATTGTACATATGTTATATGTATATGGGCCGGTGGCCTTCATGCATAATAAAGATCTTTGAACATAAAACATGGAGAGTAATAATTGCTGGATTGTCTTCACTATGTGCGACTGTACATATGCTACTGTCCATGATAGCTTAGTGCTACCGTGATATATAGGAAATTATGAAAGTGACTGATCTGCCTGAATTTGTGCACGAAATATGTCGGTCCATCGTGAGTTCATTAGCGCATAAATATGAAATATGCATAGTGTCTATTACAGATAAAAAAAATATATATATTTTAAAAATCACGTCAATACTCCCTCCCTCCTTTATATTGGCATACCCCCGTCCACGACCGTGAAACTCCCAGCATGTAAATCACCCAGTAATAGTGTGGCTGGTACAGTGACAGGCTCAACACCCCAACTCTCGTTCCCCTTGAATACTCTCCATGCAGACATGCCGTTAAAGTAGTGTATGTAGCGTGTCTACACTGCTACAGGCACGGCATACGGCTGCATGTCGCTGTGTCGAACTTGACCCAGTTTGTGAATGTTTACGGGTGTTGCACAATGAAATGACTGAATTTGACCTGACAGAAATATGGCAATGGAATATTTGCAAAGTGCAACTTGTTCATAAAGAGCTGTAGCAATAGAGACTTAGGCAAAGAAACCTAAGGGATACTAAGGCAGTTTTGGGAGATAGAGAAATGTGAGTACGACTTAGCGAAACAATGTATTTCAGCCATACAAATGTGTAGGCAACACTAATACAAGGCATCAAACTATATGTAAACAAACGGTAAAAACGCGCTTCTGAAACTGTAGTATAAACAACGTGATTATCTGTGCATAATGGAATATTAATCCTGATACCTCAATGCTCAAACTAATCAACCTAGAACAAGTTGAGCTATTATATCTGCTTTTAAGCCCCGCCCATCGCCATCAGTGCAGACCGATCAGGACTCGTTGACGACAATGTGTAGAAACTTGTTATATTTACAGGATGACAATCACCTAAGACTGCATGATAAAGTTTGCGTTAACTACATACCTGCTCCGTGACCTGTTCGCTGATCTGTTGTCGGGATCTCCCCCCGGTGTCTTGTCACACAGGTATGAACGAGAGGGGCGGTGCAGGACGACCAGCAGCCCCTGTCAAAGGGAGCGGCAAGTAGATCTGCGTACGTCAGTTCGACCCGCGGTGGCTGAGCGGGGTAGGCCTAAGGCCCTCGTGTCTTTGCGAGGATTAAAGATTTTTTTAAAATATATTAAAATTTGAGATGACCCCCCGACAGGAAAAACATCATGATGTATTGTACTGTGATGCATTTCGAGTCGGGAGTCATCTCAAAAACAATCTTTTTTTAATCTTTAATCCTCGCAAAGACACGAGGGCCTGTGGGGTAGGCTTCTGACTTTGTGTGCTGGCGATTAGGTGCATGACTCTGAGGGTGTGGGTTCGAATACCGGATGGGACTCAACCCTACAAAAGTACTAGAATCTGTACTTTACTAAGAAAGTGTAATTCCAAATACATGTATATATAAATATGTTAAGTTTCAAGCTCATGTATTTGTTTATGTAAATCATTTACAGAGGACAAAAAATAGAAGCATACCATCTGCAAATAGTAATAGATTAATCAGTTTGTAACCGAATATGGATTTGCGGGGATAATTCATTATGAAGAAGGTAAACAGATAAGGACTTAAAATGCAGCCTTGCCTAATCCATATATATATATATATACAGTCAGGCCGCGGTAATCCGGTCCTCGTTAATCCGAATCCACCGACTTCCGAACGCTACTCACTGGGCACCAAATCATCTCCCTATATATTGTATATTGTATATAATTGACACCTCGTTAGTCCGATGATTCAGTTTCCGCCTCCGAACGCTGGTCAGTCGGAACGGATTGGACTAATTAAGTTGTAAATAGCTGCGTTAATCCGAACGATTGAAGTTGACCGCGCTGCTGACACGTTGTTTGTTTAGCGACTCATCCCTTTGGTCCCTTTATCATAAGTGATAGGGAAATTTCGACGACCACGCTGTTTTGGGAAAGACTTCAATCCAGAAATATATGCTCGGTACCGGAACCAAAGTGTTCGTATTAACGAGGTCTGACTGTATATAATTTCTGGAGTTGCGCCCCCTTGCCCGCGTGCCCGCCGGTAGTTACGGTCCAACAACAGTCGCCGTCACTATGATACTGGAATATTGGCCTATCGACCAAGCCTAAACTTCAATCGACATAAAACCTTCTTTTTTTCTCTGTAATTCTTATATTACGAATTACATGTACAGAAACTGGAAGTTGCCCTGACTGTAGACCTGAAGACTGTGCTGAAAGCTCGAAGAACTAGCGTGTTTGGACGAAAAATAATGCTAATAGAACGGTATTTGTAATATTGCCGTTTCTCGGAATGTCTTACTGAGCAGTTGCTTTGTAAATTCGTCCAACTGAGTACTCCCCTTTATGTCACATGACACAGTCGCAGTATTTGTGTCGTAATAGTTGATAGAACATAGGTTTAGTTTACACTGCAATCAGCGTTCAACAAATACCGTTAGCCTTGACCTGATTACGCGGACAACATGAAGTGCTTCAGTTTTCGTTCTTTCGTTTTCTATCCTCATAGCTAATGACGCGAAGTGGTAAAGGGAGATAACTAAGGAATGTTCCTATTCCTTTGCATACCAAGTCACTGATCTTATTCACATAACACATAAATGTTTCTTTCTTGAAAGGCAGAATCTGCCCTAAGGACTGGTGGAATGACGTTACCAGTGACTGACAAAAGCAAGTGTGGGTTTAAAACAGATTATATACTCAAGCAAATGCCAGTAAAGACTGGTACATATCAAGGAAATATTCGATCATGTCGTGAACAATGAAACTACAACATGTAAATCGATGGGCTCCACCAACAGCTGGCGGTAGACGTATTTAGACTGCTAGCGTCGCCAGCAGCGTGGTACAAGTCACTGAAATATATGGCACGGTGCATGTGGCACGTCTACTTCACAGGATAGTAAACACGGGGTGAGTGGGTATCTGGATTTCCCGTAGATTGGAACTTGGAAATATACGTGATGTGTACTTCGAGAAGAGTACAACTGTGGTTTAGTTCAAACGTGTGCATTGGATTTCTTTTCGTGTGGGCTATCGTTTCATGGACTTTTTCGTCTACTCATTTCACGATCCTTTAATGCACTACGCGCATCTGCCTGTGAGAGATGCTTCCTCTATCCTTGACCCCTTCCATCCCAGAAAGGCCAACCCCAGACCCACCCATTCTCTTCCTCTCAGGGACGACAACCATTCAGCACCGCACCGCCTACCTCACAAAGACACCACCTCTAAACCCTCAGATTCCCTGAGTCACGGAGTCATCCCTACATTTCCACATCCCCACCACAGTCAGACTGAGAAACAAGGTCAAGGTAAAGATCTCCCGCACAGGAACGAGGCTGCCGTTAAACGGCTCCTGACGACATGGCCTCATCCATCAAGCCTATTTCTGCCCAATATGTCCATTGTGTCCCGATTGTTTGACATCAGTGACGCAGGTTTGTTCTTTCGATTTACTCTACTCCGAGATAATTTCAATAAGCTGTTGGTAGTGAGGTAGCCCAGTGGTGTGTGCCTGAGCTGTCGATCTTCACAAAACAGCGGACTTCTTGCAAATATGCTGATAGATACCAGTCACTTACGTATTCATTTAAACTATTGTCCATAAACAGTTTAAATCTAGGATAAATGTTTCAGCTGTACACATAGAGCAATATATGCGTAGTTTTAGCTGCATGTATATATCTACCTGACAAAGACAGAGGTTCCAATAGTTCTGTGGCCAGACACACACCACACAACCATATACACGCAGTCACACCAACACCAACATACACACCACACAAGCATATACACGCAGTCACACCAACACCAACATACACACCACACAATCATATACACGCAGTCACACCAACACCAACACACACACACACAATTATATACACGCAGTCACACCAACACCAACATACACACACCACACAATCATATACACGCAGTCACACCAACACCAATACAATCACAATCATATATACACGCAGTCACACGCACACACACACACACAATCATATACACGCAGTCACACCAACACCAATAGACACACACCACACAATCATATACACGCAGTCACACCAACACCAATACACACACACACACAATCATATACACGCAGTCACACCAACACCAACACCAAATGCACACCAACACCAACACACACACCACAATCATATAATCACGCAGTCACACCAACACCAATAGACACACACCACACAATCATATACACGCAGTCACACCAACACCAATAGACACACACAACACAATCATATACACGCAGTCACACCAACGCCAATAGACACACAACACCAACACACACACATCATATACACGCAGTCACACCAACACCAACACACACACCACACAATCATATACACGCAGTCACACCAACACCAACATACACACACCACACAATCATATACACGCAGTCACACCAACACCAACATACACACCACACAATCATATACATATCACGCCAACACACACAACACCAATACACGCACACACACACCACACACAAGCATATACACGCAGTCACACCAACACACACACCACACCATGCTATCATATACACGCAGTCACACCAACATACACACCACACCACACCACACTATCGTATATACGCAGTCACACCAACATACACACACCACACAATTATATACACGCATTCATGGCAAAACCAACAGACACACACATACACACAGACACAGAAACACAGACACACACATACACACAGACACATACACACACACAGCAGCAGCAAATATAAGCTTTTTCTGGATCAGGACGGATGGGTCGACCCCTGACTATCAATGCCAGCCTGTTGCCAAAGGAGGAGAAGGCTAAATTCCACAATGCCCACAAGAGACATTCCATGAACGAGTACGTCAGTAACCTGATTCCGGTACACAGACAGCTGCCTGACGTCAGGCCCAACGGGTAATTATATATACATCAAAAGGTAATTATAAATATGTACCCTCCATGGACCACTGCAAGTAAATATATATCACCAGGAGGTAATTTCAGAAATTTTATGATATGGGTTCAATTAATACCATCCAAGAAATAGTGATTGTGTATGTTATTTTTAACAGGGTGGTATGCGAAATAGAGGGTTTATATGTTCAAATGTGGCTATTATGATAACGATGAAGTCACAATCTTTTGCAAAGCATTTGACTGTAATGTTTAAAGATGATGATAAAAATGTTCACAGCAGATATTATTCAACATTAATTCTCCTCAATGTGTAATAACGAATAATATTCACCTAAATCTGATGTGATGGTGGTATTCGTCCATGACGTGTAAAACATTTTGTTGATTCTGTGTTTGTCCAATACACAAATATGAATCAATATAATTACATACGTTCAATATATCAACCTCGTGATGTGAGTGTGACAGTATGGACGCTAACAATATCATACCAGACAATGAAGTGATTGACATCATGAGCATCGATGCATATCGTTGGGATGACATGCCTTAACATACCCATCCATACAATCCAGACTTTGAGCAGGCGAGGTATATCTCCTTCAGCTGCAGCGAGCGTTATACGGACCAAAATCTACCTCAGACCAGCATCGTTATTTGCTTCCTGAATGAGGCGTGGTCTACGTTGCTAAGGACAATCCATAGTGCGCTTGACAACGCCCCGCCCCATCTGGTGAAAGAGGTCATCCTGGTTGACGACCACTCAGAATGGGGTGAGTATGAATGAGTTTAGATAAAGTGGAAAGAAAAAAGTTGTTGGCTTTGCAACTTTGTCGTAACTCATGAGTCATATTTGAGTTGTATCAAGGAAAAAAAAAAATACGATCCTCGGCTCCCTTAATAATATTTGATACTGGTATTATATCAGAATATGTTGAGAAGATTATAATAACATTATAATACCTCAGTCCTGGTTGATGTGGGTTAAAACCATTATCTGCCAACCAGTTTGTGTTCTTATGAAGGATGCGATATAACTACAGCAGGAGCATTATTTTGTGTCTCTTTTTACAGAATTTTTAGGAAAGCCTCTCGAGGATTATTTCAAGACAAACTCCAAAATACGCATCTTACGTTCCGACGTCAGGAAGGGTCTGATGCACGCCCGGATGACAGGCTTCTACAATGCCACTGCACCCATCGTCACCTTCCTCGACTCCCACACCGAGTGTACGCCAGGTATCTCGCCATCATACTTTGCATGCCAGCTCTTTAATGAAACCAGAGTGCCGGTTACTCTGTTGAGGTAAACATTATCTTACCCGTGAAGATCCGGGTTAGAATTGGTCTTCAGCAACCCATGCTTGTCGTAAGAGGCGACTAACGGGATCGGGTGATCAGGCTCGCTGACTTGGTTGACACATGTCATCCTATCCCAGTTGCGCAGATCGATGATTATGCTGCTTATCACTGGATTGTCTGGTCCAGACTCGATTATTTACAGACCGCCGCCATATATACTGGTTGTCTAGATAACTGTCCAAGGGTCATACACTGATGATGACTGAAGGACGAGCCATCGATCCCTGGAGAAATGGTCACTTGCTTGACGTTGTCTTCTACAGGATGGTTGGAGCCCCTTCTGGCTCCGATTGTAGCTGACGGCAACGTCGTGATAGCACCGGCCATCGACTACATCAACAAGGAGGATTTCAGCTTGTCTGTAGGTGAGATCCAGCTGTATTTCTTCCATCTCGGCAGCCTAACGGCCGGGGCTTCTTACATTCCGGACAGGGAACGGAGGAGAAGGAAGCGGGCGACCGACACCATCAGGTTGTAACACTGAACCAACAGTTACTTTACGTCATTCTAAAATTTATATACGTCTCTAAAATACCTTTAGTACGTCACTCTACTATTTTTATTACGTCACTCCAATATTTTTATTACGAAGCTAAAATACGTTTATTTCGTCACTTATTTACTTTCATACGTCTCTCCCATTCCCCCTTCGCTTTGAGCATGCACTGGTGTTTAGATTAATAGCGCATAACAAATGGCCATTAATAATACTTTTAAAGCGTCACTCCAATATGTTTATTACGTTCCTGTTGAAACAGTTATATGACGTCACTCTAAACGTCACAAAACACAAAACACCATATGTTATCAAGAAGAACGCAATGACCACACATTACAGGGAGAATACTAGGAGCGCCTTTCTTGGCATTTTAATTTCAAGATTACTCACAGTGACTGTCCACTCGCCCATAATATATCGGAGATGGAGATAAGCATACCATGTCTGTCAAACTACGCCACGCTTTTAATTTTAGAAACTATCAATTCGGTTTTCAAACGTAGTTGGTTTATCTCCTCAATGGTTGCCCGTCCTGGTTGTGTGTCCCTGTGTGTAACCTGTATCAGTGTTCTATATATCTCTCTCAGGAGCCCCGGCATGGCAGGCGGTCTCTTCTCCATCTCCAAAGACTTCTTCATCCGACTGGGAGCCTTCGATCCTGGAATGTCGCACTGGGGAGGAGAAAACATTGAGATGTCCTTCAAGGTAAGCATCACATGCCAATATCTGTCAGCGGATCCATGCAGGGGTGCGCAACCCCACCCCCTTTTGTTCTGTTAGTTTATTAAATGATCATGAAACCGGTGAAAATGGTGGGTGAAAATAAACTGTGTACTACCCACCCCTCTTTCTGAACTGTGCACGCACACACGCACATACACACACACGCACACACGCACGCACGCACGCACGCACGCACACACACACACACGCACACACACATGCCTTTGTCCAGACATACAGCCTGGTTCCCAGGATATACTGTGATGGGATTTCAATGACCAACAGAATGTCCACACAATTTCAGCTTCTTCTTTGCTGCAGGGTGGAAGACGTAATCATGTCTGTGTTATGAGGAGTATACTGTTCCTCCTTCAACATGATGGCCTTCATACCGATTATGCAATACTTGACGTCCATCAATGTTCCTCTCTATGTGTAGAACTTCTAAACGCCAAGGAGTTTCTGCAAAGCAAACAAACTTGGCAGACATAGTTTCAATATAATAGAAAACCCATTAACGGGTAGTTCGGGTTTTTAGCAGTTTCATCAATACTATAACATAGCATACGTCACGAGAATGATACCAAATGTTACTTTTAGTGAGAGAAACACTATGATAGCTGTTTCTAGACACGAAGGTCACAAAACTGAAATCTAAACAGCGACACAAAGCCAATGTCCAACAGCTGTAAATGTTTCGTTTCAGCCAGCTATTGCTATTGTGATGAAATTGTATACATGATATATGGACCTGAACGACTTTATTGATTAAATAGCATTACCGTCTCTGTTGTACCGAATTGCATGAGGAAATTGTCGATGACTCTGGCTCATGTTCCCCTGTTGTTGTGCGTTGGATCACTCAGTCACTCTCGGGTTCATTATTATGTAATCGTTTGGTCTGTTATTATTTTAAATTAAATATGAAATGTCTTGGGAAGATCTTAAAGTTTGGATTTTCAGATTTATTAAAGATGTTTCTGTAAGAAATAAGATGTCTCTTACCATGAATAGAGGCGTTATCACCTGTATACCAAAAGGTAATAAAAACAGAAACCAATTAAAGAACTGGAGACCAGTTACTTTATTAAATGCTCTGTATAAAATAATAAATGCCTGTATCTCTAACCGATTAAAAATAACCTTAAATTCTCTAATACATGATAACCAGGCTGGATTTATACCAGGCAGAATACTAAGTGAAAATACAAGATTACTGTATGATATTATGTTTGAAACTAAGAAACGAGATATACCGGGTTTATTGGTTTTGACTGATTTTGAAAAAGCTTTCGACACAGTTTCTAAAGATTTTATTAATTCTGTCTTATTAAAATTTGTTTTCGGTCCAGAAAGTATACGCTGGATTAATTTGTTAACTTATGATACAACCTCATGTGTTATTCAGCATGAACATCTCTCTGAGTTCTTCCCTTACAAGCGGGGTTGCAGGCAAGGTGATCCATTATCACCATATTTGTTTCTATTTGTGGCTGAAATCCTTGGATGTATGATAAGGCATTGTATTGTAATCGATGAGCAAGAATATAAGTTAGGCCAATATGCTGATGATACAGAATTATTTTTGAATGGCTCAGAGGATAGTTTATATGCTGCGATTGATACAATTAATACTTTCTACAAAATGTCTAAAAATAAATATAGATAAGACTAAGGCAATCTGGATTGGCTCTAAAGCTGGAGGCAGAGACATACTTTGTCAAGACTTGAATATAGAATGGCAAAGAAATGAATTCGAAGTCTTAGGAATTAAATTTACTCCTGACTTAAATGGTCTGTGGGTCATCAACACAAGTGGCCTTTTACTGCAAATAAACTCTGTCTCTGTCTCTGTCTCAACACAAGAAAAAGACTAGAAGACATTAATAGATTACTAGCGACGTAGAGAAAAAGAGAAAATTAACATTGCTTGGCAAAATTACTGTTATTAAAACACTGGCTCTTTCAATACTGGTGCATATCTTTAATACTTTCCGTAAACCACCAGATGAATTTATTACTTCCCTAGAGATAATATTTTTCAGATTTATTTGGGATAATAAAATTGACATAATCAGACGCATGATTGATATCAAAACCTTTGTTAATGCCATGAAACTATCCATACTCAGACTGTATGTCAGAAAAGCAAATGTAAGTAATCCATGCTATTTTCCATCCAAATATATAGTAAAGTATGGCGCAAATTTTCAGAATATTGTTGAAATTGAAAATTAATCCTTTTTGGAGGGATGTCTTGAAGGCATGGAAATTATATTATACTAAAACACTATTGAATATGATAATATAAATGAAATCTTATCCCAATCCATATGGCTCATTCATCATAGCATTGAGTTTCTCATAGTCACCTCTTTCATAACATAATGCGCTTCTTTTGTAGGCTAACCTGGTATTTACATGAGCATTAACGGTGATATGTGTATCGTTGTGATCACTTATACTTTTACATAAATCTACAACACCACTGTCTAAAACATCAACATCTTCAGATATAATGATGGGATCAAGCAGTGTGTTCGTTGTTTTTGTTACTCTCGTTGGTTCTTTAATAACATTTTTCAGATGTTTCCTGGCTATTAAATCATGTAGATACGTGTTATTATTCGACAAAAGGTTTGCATTAAGATCGCCAACAACGGTAACTTTACCCGAGATATCTAATGCAGTCTCAATGCTACTATCAAGCCGGGTCCAGTATTGTAAACCTTGGTATTGTGGTCTGTAGGTGACACATAACACAAGCACTCCAGTATTCTAAACCTTGGTATTGTGGTCTGTAGGTGACACATAACACAAGCACTCCAGGTATTGTGGTCTGTAGGTGACACATAACACAAGCACTCCAGTATTCTAAACCCTGGTATTGTGGTCTGTAGGTGACACATAACACAAGCACTCCAGTATTCTAAACCTTGGTATTGTGGTCTGTAGGTGACACATAACACAAGCACTCCAGTATTCTAAACCTTGGTATTGTGGTCTGTAGGTGACACATAACACAAGCACTCCAGTATTCTAAACCTTGGTATTGTGGTCTGTAGGTGACACATAACACAAGCCTCCAGTATTGGTCTACAACCTTGGTATTGTGGTCTGTAGGTGACACATAAGCACTCCACAATTGTGGTCTGTAGGTGACACATAACACTCCTCCAGTATTCTAAACCTTGGTATTGTGGTCTGTAGGTGACACATAACACAAGCACTCCAGTATTCTAAACCCTGGTATTGTGGTCTGTAGGTGACACATAACACAAGCACTCCAGTATTCTAACCCCTGGTATTGTGGTCTGTAGGTGACACATAACACAAGCACTCCAGTATTCTAAACCTTGGTATTGTGGTCTGTAGGTGACACATAACACAAGCACTCCAGTATTCTAAACCTTGGTATTGTGGTCTGTAGGTGACACATAACACAAGCACTCCAGTATTCTAAACCTTGGTATTGTGGTCTGTAGGTGACACATAACACAAGCACTCCAGTATTCTAAACCTTGGTATTGTGGTCTGTAGGTCTGTAGGGTCTGAGATGACACATAACACAAGCACTCCAGTATTCTAAACCTTGGTATTGTGGTCTGTAGGTGACACATAACACAAGCACTCCAGTATTCTAAACCTTGGTATTGTGGTCTGTAGGTGACACATAACACAAGCACTCCAGTATTCTAAACCTTGGTATTGTGGTCTGTAGGTGACACATAACACAAGCGGCTTTTGTGGGATAAATACTTGAACCCATATAGATTCATCACAGTTGTTTTCAAGATGACATAACATATGTCATATATATTGGGAATGTGAGGAAACAAGAGACTTTTGGAATGAACTTCAAATTTGGATCAATCAAAACATACAGGAATTGCAGTTGTTAAATTTCACGTTTTGTTTGGTACTGTAAGTACTAACCCACTACTTTGTCATACAATACTTTCTGCTAAAAGACACAACTATATTTGCACCCTGAAAAAAATAATCTAACAAGATCGGGTGGTCAGACTCGCTGGCTTGGTTGACACATGTCATCGTATCCCAACTGCGTAAATCGGTGCTCATGCTGTTGATCACTGGATTGTCTGGTTCAGACTTGTCAGTCGTCTCTTACGACAATCATGGGTTACTGAAGATCAGTTCTAACCCACCGTTCCCGACCGTCATGACCCTGTATTTGTGTTCCAGGTGTGGATGTGCGGGGGGAGGATTGAGGTAGCTCCATGTTCCCATATTGGTCACGTCTTCCACTCCCACAGCAACTACCCCGTCAGCAACGGCGTCAGAGCCTCCATCCGGAACTACGCTCGTGTGGCCGAGGTCTGGATGGATGACTTCCGGCGATATTACGAAAAATTCAGAATAAAGCATAACCCAAGAATATATGTAAGTATGAGGTGAGGTGAGGTGAGGTGAGGTGAGGTGAGGTGAGGTGAGGTGAGGTGAGGTGAGGTGAGGTGAGGTGAGGTGAGGTGAATCGTCACGGTCAAAATTATTGGACTTGTATTGATTTGTGAATGAATGAATGAATGATCTACCCAAATGGGATACGATGACATGTGTCAACCATGTCAGCGATTCCACCCACCCGATATCGTTAGATGCCTCTCATGATAGGTGTATTTACAGTTTTGTTGACATGGTCCCCACTCGGATACATCAAGGCCATCCGGAGATGGAATATTGCAGAGCACAGGGTAACATCATAACCATCAATGTATACTTTGAACTACACAAGCAGTATGGCTTAGTAAGCAGTATAGGTTTTCCCGTTCAATATACTGAGGGTTGTTTACTGCCTGAATAGAAGAAACACTCATTTGTATAACTATCACTGTAATAATCTATATACTCAACTTATTTATACATAATAATCTTACCGCGGCTTCCACGTAGTAACCCGCTGAGCAGGTTAGGCGGCTGACCTTGTGTGCTGGCGATTAGGTGCCTGGCTCTGAGGGTGTGGGTTCGAATCCCGGATGGGACCCATTCCAACAAAAGTACTAGAATTTGTACTCTACTAAGAAAGTGTAATCCCAAATATAACATATGTTGCATTTGACCACTTTCCAAGTGACATTGACATGTGTATTCATTGCCAATATGTTTTCACGCATTTTCGGGATGACATTGTTTAACTTCAACTGATTTAATCAGTACTGTTTAATTGTTCGCCTCTCCTCTTTGACAACGAAGGATCCCGGCGACGTCTCGGAACGGCGGCGGCTCAGGGAGAGTCTCCAGTGTCATCCGTTCAGCTGGTACATAGAAAACATCTACCCCGAGTACAACATCAGCATCAAGCCTCTATTAACTGGACAGGTAACTCTAACACCACCGGCATGTGAGCTCTGGCTGCTGCTTGTTTCTATCAAGAGGATGCATTAACATATACTACACATAAGCCTACATTCTCCTCCACTTAACGCACTGGCGTCTTCCATTGACTGATCAAGAATATGTAACGGCGATTTAAGGGGCGTCTATGAAAGTAGTAGCCGTACTTCAGTCTGTCTCATGTTATCCCCTTTATGTTTTAACACCATTCAGAAGAGTCACGGCGAAATGAAATAAAATCGACCCAATTGTATCCATGCCCCCAAGATATTCCGTGGTTGTGAATCTTTATGTACTGGTGATTACAATCAGTTGTTCGGGATAGGGTGTACGCTGTGTTGTATTTTATCCAAATATTTTCAGCTGCAAAGTGTTGGTACTCCTAATGCCTGTCTGGCCTCATCTACCAAAGACGACACCCCCCGGCTATACATACAGCCATGTGACGACAAGGTGTACCAACAGGTCAGTCTGTATTAGCAATATCTCGGCCTTCGATATACTGGAAACTGTGCTATGCGAACAATTCTGGCGAGACGTGTATAAAGATACATTGCTCAGATCAATGATCCGTATCAGTGACCAGGAAGCGAGTCTTCAAACCCTCCGGTTTAAGGTGTTCTCACGGAATATAGCAAAAATATGAACAGACAATGAATATCATTATATTGTTCCAGTGAGTACAGCAGCGTGGAATGTCGTTGAGTATGAGAAAATGTTGTTAGATTTTGCGGTGTCATCAACCCTCTTTAGAGTCGCATATTGGTTACAGCGTTCTCACGTCTCGCCGAAAACCCGGGTTCAATTCCCGACATGAGTACAATGTGTGAAGCCTATTTCTGGTGTCCCTAGCCGTGATATCGCTGAAATATTGCTAAAGGCGGCGTAAAACCATACTCATTCGTGAAATCTTGACCTAGTTTGTTATCATGATTTGTTGACGAGCTGACAGTGATGCCTATCATTGTGGAGCTATCGAATCAGTTTGCCAATCAAAGCACGAATGAAACCTGAAAGTCATAAAATGCAATTTCCATATACATTTGTATATAATTCATTCATGTTGTTATGCTGTCTTGCGTGCTCAGCCAGGAAAATCACCGCGGGGACCGCAGGAAATATATCATCCATGCATAGATAGAAACATTATCCATGCTTAGATATAGAGACTATCCATTTATCCATGCTTGATCTGTTTTAACAGGTGTGGAACTACACCGATCTGCACGAGGTGATGACAGGTGTATACTGTATTGACCACGGCAATGACCATATCACCCTTCAGCAGTGTACAGGCAGGGGAGGGCGTGGCAGGCAGGAATTTCTCTACAAGGTACGTCACTGATCAAAACCCCAACTCAGGCTTAGCGTGACGGTTGTGACAAACACTGGTGCACTGCGCACTACTGAAAAGTGTTTCCATGCTGTTTACACCGGGAAGCAGCACGGTACTGTGGAAGGACACAGATACGATATGCCAGGAAATACAAAAGACTACAAGGAAGGGACACAACACGCTATATGTGCATACATGTGTCGGGGCAAAACATAGATTTAGATAATGAACACATATACTTATACTCCGGGGCAAACATAGATTTAGATAGTGAACACATATACTTATACTCTGGGGAAAACATAGAGATTTAGATAGTGAACACATATACTTATACTCCGGGCAAAACATAGATTTAGATAGTGAACACATATACTTATACTCCGGGGCAAAACATAGATTAAGATAGTGAACACATATACTTATACTCCGGGGCAAAACATAGATTTAGATAGTGAACACATATACTTATACTCCGGGGCAAACATAGATTTAGATAGTGAACACATATACTTATACTCCGGGGAAAACATAGATTTAGATAGTAAACACATATACTTATACTCTGGGGAAAACATAGAGTTAGATAGTAAACACATATGCTTATACTCCGGGGCAAACATAGATTTAGTTAGAGTACACATATGCTTATACTCCGGGGAAAACATAGATTTAGATAGTGAACACATATACTTATACTCCGGGGCAAAACATAGATTAAGATAGTGAACACATATACTTATACTCCATGGCAAACATAGATTTAGATAGTGAACACATATACTTATACTCCGGGGCAAACATAGATTTAGATAGTGAACACATATACTTATACTCCGGGGCAAACATAGATTTAGATAGGAACAAACATATATTAGAGTTAGATAGTAAACACATATGATACTCCGGGGCAAACATATATTTACTTGAACACTCCTTATACCCGGGGAAACATAGATTTAGATAGTGAACACATATACTTATACTCCGGGGAAAAACATAGATTTAGATAGTGAACACATATACTTATACTCCTGGGCAAACATAGATTTATAGATTTAGATAGTTAAAACATAGATTTAGATAGTGAACACACATATACTTATACTCCTGGGCAAAACATAGATTTAGATAGTGAACACATATACTTATACTCCGGGCAAACATAGATTTAGATAGTGAACACATATACTTATACTACCAAACATAGATTTAGATAGTTAACAATATACTTATAGAAACATAGATTTAGATAGTGAACACATATACTTATACTCCGGGGCAAGGCGATTTAGATAGTGAACACATAGATTAGATTTAGATAGTGAACACATATACTTATACTAGATAGTGAACTATACTTATACTCTGGGGCAAAACATAGATTTAGATAGTGAACACATATACTTATACTCCGGGGCAAAACATAGATTTAGAGAGTGAACACATATACTTATACTCCGGGGCAAACATAGATTAGATAGTGAACACATATACTTATACTCCGGGACAAAACATATGGATTTAGACAGTGAATACATACACTTATACTCCAGGGCAAACATAGATTTAGATAGTGAACAAATACACTTATACTCCGGGGCAAAACATAGATTTAGATAGTGAACACATGTAAAACACTGGGGCAAAACATAGATTTAGGCAGTGAATACATATGTTATACACTGGGACACAACACAGTACTAGACAGTACTAAACAGTGGTTACATGGGCTATACATTGAAACAGAACAGTACAGGCAGAGACATAGATCGTACACATCTTGGTAAATGCCTTTGCAGGCGTTTTTCATAATATCAGTATCTATATTCCATCCTATTGTATAAACAGGTCACCGCCAGATAGATGGAATATTGCTGAATATGCCTGTAAACATCGAACAATCAACTCTCTTGCTATATATCTCAAATCGTGAAACAACAGATTGCAGAGTGCTGCAGCAGTTTTGTATGCCGTCACGCTGGGCGTATGTTGTAGGGCAATGCACGGTGACCTGTTCTCCCAGGACTGCACATTATTGTGGCCTACGTGAGTCACTAGGGGGCGTCCAAGGCTTCATGAACTGGAAGGCCATATACCTACCCAACACGTGTCTTACATAACGAGGGATAAATATGTTACAATATTAGATGTGCTAAACGTTCAGTGGTTCGATCTGGTAACACAAATTGTAAAAAGGGACAATTATGACGTACAAAGCAGAATAGGCCATGATGGGTTGGGTTTTTTTCAATATAGCTAGATTTTGTTATGTGTAACATTTTAGGGGGCATTTCCTCTTATCGAGAAGCGCACATAAAATGACAACCTGAAAATTGAAATTGTTGGGCCTCATTATTTGAATTAACGTACACCCCTCCACTTCTTGCCCGCATATTGAGATGAATGAATGTTGCGTGTTTCCATGTTGGCAGGACCAGCATCTCCGTTGGCATAGGAACAAGTGTCTAGCTGTTGGAGCGGACAAGATCTCGCTCAACTCTGAAGACTGCCAGGACAGTGTCAACCAAAAATGGACATGGACCAGTCTTTTGTGATGAATGTGGAACAGAAATAGGAATATATTATTTATGTTCAGGGTGAATGTAACCTGACGTGTGTATATAATTTACAGAGTGCGATGACAGTGATCATCTTTAGCTGTACAATAGCAGGGCGATGGGGTAACTTGGCGGTTATTGCTGATTAGGAAACAGGTGGTAGATGCTTGTGTGTTGAAGGTGTTTTACAAGACGTTAGCACAGTCTATCGTCCTGTGTGATGAAGGTGTTTCACAGGTGTTTCACTGGACACTGAACAGTCTACCACCCTGTGTGATGAAGGTGTTTCACAGGACACCAGAACAGTCTACCACCTTGTATGATGAAGGTGTTTCACAGGACACCAGAACAGTCTACCACCCTGTGTGATGAAGGTGTTTCACAGGACACCAGAACAGTCTACCACCCTGTGTGATGAAGGTGTTTCACAGGACACCAGTGTGATGAAGGTGTTTCATAGAACAGTCTACCTTGTGTGATGAAAGTGTTTCAGGACACCAGAACAGTCTACCACCCTGTGTGATGAAGGTGTTTCATAGGAAATCAGAACAGTCTACCACCCTGTGTGATGAAGGTGTTTCACAGGACACAGATCAGTCTAACACCCTGTGTGATGAAGGTGTTTCAGAGGACACCAGAACAGTCTATCACCTTGTGTGATGAAGGTGTTTCACAGGACACCAGAACAGTCTACTACCACCTGTGTGATGAAGGTGTTTCACAGGACACCAGAACAGTCTACCACCCTGTGTGATGAAGGTGTTTCACAGGACACCAGAACAGTCTACCACCCTGTGTGATGAAGGTGTTTCACAGGACACCAGAACAGTCTACCACCCTGTGTGATGAAGGTGTTTCACAGGACACCAGAACAGTCTACCACCCTGTGTGATGAAGGTGTTTCACAGGACACCAGAACAGTCTACCACCCTGTGTGATGAAGGTGTTTCACAGGACACCAGAACAGTCTACCACCCTGTGTGATGAAGGTGTTTCACAGGACACCAGAACAGTCTACCACCCTGTGTGATGAAGGTGTTTCACAGGACACCAGAACAGTCTACCACCCTGTGTGATGAAGGTGTTTCATAGATGTCTGAACGGCGTCAATAGTACGTGAAATATTTCTGCGTGTTTCATGGAACGCTGTATCGTGAGATGTCAATCATGTAAATGAACGTTTGAATAAATACGTTTTGTTTTATTAAGGACAAACTTGTATTTGACATGGAGCTAGGATGGTTCCGCTTGGCCCGACTGTGAGTCCATAATCAAGAACGTCCCTGGAACATGAATAGAGATATCAGCCGCAGTTGCAGTTGTCAATGTATAAGCGCGCACATGTTATCGACGGTTCTGTTTGAGTATATCCAACAGCTGCTTGGAAATCAATGAGATGCGGTTATTGGTGCACATCAATGAAATGATGAAATACTGTTCAAAATGATATCACTTCGCTTGTAAAACGCATAAATTCATAGTATTATGCAATTGTCAGGTGGTGATTTCATTGTTGAAACTAAAAGGTGAGCCAGGAACCAGCCCGTATGAGAACTAGGAACAGCTAACAAATACTGCAATGCGATTTAACTAACAAATGTACATTAATATAAAAAAGTTCACAAATCCATACAAACCAATATGAAGTTATCACTTTGGTAGTATAACATTGTATGGCAGTACAAAATACAAGAGGAGTTATTATAGCAATAATCACAATGATTATATGTCGTTAACGGCGTACATTTGGCTCCAGGTGTCATATGTTAAAAGTGGTTTCATGGCGTCACGCCTGCTGGCACATTCCAACTCATCATGACCCACATCTGGTGACTAGTTGTTATAAACTATGCCTGTCTTCACTGGTCTTTTCGTCGAGTATACTGTCGCCATAGACACAGTTAACTTGTATAGTGCAGCATGACCAATGTATTGGTAAGGTATGAATATGGTAAGTGTACATGAATAAAGCATAGCTAAAACACCAGACAGTTTAGTGCAAAACCATACCTCTCTGCGTTCATTGCATGTCGCGTCAAAGCAACATCAGCGTCTAGGATTCTAAATTCAGAGAGTCGTATCTCATTTCCCTATGTGAGAATTCAATACAATCGAATAGTTTAGATATCGAATGTTTCAGGTATTTTATAGAGTCACCTCTAAATGATTCCTGTACAGGGTATGTTAGTATTCGCTGGCGATTTTCTACGGCACAGTACGAGATTTTCTCATTAAGGAGGCAAATACATGAAGCCGTATTATTTTAGCAAACTGATATATGATTGGCTGAAATAGTGTGTTTTAAATGAAGAGATATGGTCGCCTGGAGATTTGAATTGTCAGTTGTCGGAGCCTATATGGCGTACTCCTGGGATAGTCAGGTAGCGGGACATATCATGGTGTTGCTACGAAATCCTAGACTTGGTGCCCAGTCACACATCAGAAACCCTGGGTTCAACAGTCTTCAGGAGAAGTAATCGCGCTGTGATGGCAGCTGGACAAAGACTGACAGTCACCGTTCCGGTATTCGGCAACCCCCCCGCCAATTCCTTCTCTCTATTGTTAGGGTGACTTGCGTGTGGTTATATACTCCCCATCAAAAGTTTAGACTCACTAGTGTAAATGTAGCCACTTACTTAAGTCAACTCTTCTAAACTTCTAAAAGGTACTGTTTACACTTGAACTGATGTATTGTAAAACAAATTCGTAACGTTGAAAAAATGATTGTCATGAGTTAAAAAAATGATGAGTGAAAATTTTACACCACAACACAGCTGTTCACATGCACGATATTTGCACATGCTTTTTAGCAATTTAATGCATGATCCTCGTGCAAATCATCTGTATAAAGTTTGCAGTTGGTTCCCCAAAGTTAGTGGAGAAATTCATCTTCGATGTAACCACACATATATGCATAACATATAGTGAGTGCTTTAAGTGAGTCTAAACTTTTGATGGGTAGTATACATTTGATCCTTGATGATTCCACCAATGTCATTATCAGTTTTGTAGCATCAAGTTCATTCTTCACGTGTGTTTATGCAGCCTAATGCATAGATTTACACAGGTTTTCATTTTAAGATATCCGTGAAGATCCGGGTTAGAATGAACCTTCAGTAACCCATACTTGTCGTAAGAGGCGACTAACGGGATCGGGTGGACAGGCTCGCTGGCTTGGTTGACACATGTCATCGGTTCCCTATGCGCAGATCGGTGCTCTTGCTGTTGATCACTGGATTGTCTGGTCCAGGCTCGATCATTTACAGACCTCCGCCATATAGCTGGAATATAGCTGAGTGCGGCGTAACTCTAAACTCACTCACTCACTTAATGATAATTCGTAAATATCTTCAAATTAATAGATATATATCACCTATGTGTTCGCAGTGATGTTGCCGATAATTTAGTTGTTTCCGTCAGATGAGCTTTTTGAAACCTTTGATTGACCAATCAAAATATAGTAATATATAGTACCATCATTATGATATGACGTCACAGTGGGAACATCTTCGACTATCAAGTGTGTCACACTTCAACTCCGGTATGATGCTTACCTTGACCTATTCACCACATGAAGTTTGCTTCGGGCAGTTCGGGGCCAGTACAATAGCCAGCACACTAGAAACACATATCCAGTCAAATTACACTGTTCTTGATTTCAATAAGTCTCGGTAATCACCAGACATCGACTGAACGTTTGCGTGACGTCGCAAATACAACCGGAAGTTGTTTTAACACGACTTGCCTTTCCCCGTGTAATTACTCATGAAGGCATCTTTACCAGCATTATTTTCAAGTTTACAGTCACTGTGATTTAAATACATAGAAGGTTTGCTCAGGTGCTCGATGTAGATCTGTGCCGAACTGGCGACATTTGGGCTGGTTGTATATTCCAAACACATGAACGAGACATTCTGCGTCAGGCCAGTGAACTGACTGACTGAGTTTGGTTTTACGCCGCTTTTAGCAATATTCCAGCAACATCACGGCGGGGGGACACCAGAAATGGGCTTCACACATTGTACCCATGTGGGGATTCGAACCCGGGTCTTCGGCGTGACGAGCCAACGCTTTAACCATTAGGCTACCCCACCACCCCGTCAGGCCAGTGAAAGGTGAGATGGGGCTTGTAGTGTCACAAAGGATGGTAGCTAATAGGTTTAGGAAATAGATTATTGCAGAAAAAGATAAACTAATATTTCTGTGTTATCAATATTTGTAAGTGAAATGAGAATATAATTCAGATGGGAGTACATTTCTCTCTCTCTCTCTCCCTCACCCCCCTCTCTCCGTCTATACAGACAAGTACTTCCATCTGAAATATATTCTCATACATAGAAACACACATACATACACATAGTTATTTCAAGTTATTTAAACCAATACTCCAATCCAGCTTAATTAGTTGTATTTATTTTCTTTCCAATTCCAGATGGAACAATGTGTTTCATTCAGATTGGTATCAGCCGTTCCAGCTGAACAAGTATAGGTATATTACATTGATGCATACATGGATTCCTGCATTATAAACAGATGTTTGAAATCGCTTTGTTCTTTCCATTTGAAATATATAGAGTGGTAGGCACTGTAGCTCACTTGACGTAAATACTCAAACTAATATAAAGAGGATAAAGTATGAGACATCGCCGTGTCAATGTCATGTATCAACTAACATGGTATATATACTCTCCCAAAAAAGAAACGCATATAGGAATTTCAACTGTATTTTTATGTTTATTTTGAATCATTTTGTGGGCTTTATGAGTCAATGGAATATAGCGAAATTGCACACTGGGAATGCAAACTTATCCGTCTTTGGCACCAACTCGAGGAAAGTCAGTTTGAGTGTCACATGGAGACGTGTGGTGGCGATACCTCGTGTGACCACCGTGGGCATCCAGAACTGCACGGCATCGCCTCGGCATCGAACGAATAAGTCTCAGAATCTCGTGTTGCCCAATCGCAGCCCACTGTGCCTGTAGTGCCTGTGCGAGTTGCTGAAATGTCTGGGGCTGAGGGTTACGGCGTCGCACCCGTCTGTCCAGGGCATCCCACAGATGTTCAATCGGGTTTAAGTCCGGTGATCTTGAGGGCCAGGGGAGCACATTGATGTTGTGGTTCTGGAGGAAGTCTCTAGTGTGACGTGCTGTGTGGGGCCTGGCATTGTCCTGTTGAAACAACTCCCTCTGGCGATCAATGATTGGAAGGAGGTGTGGGCGTAGGATTTCGTCACAGTACCGTTGAGCTGTCAGGTTGCCCTGGATCATCACCAAATCACTTCTCCTACTGCAGGTGATCTCCCCCCACATCATAACACTGTCCCGGCCGAATCTGTCCACCTGGGGAACGCAAGCGTCGGCGAAACGTTCACGTCGACGTCTGTACACCCGCATTCTTCCATCGCGTCGTTCCAATAGAAATCGTGATTCATCACTGAACCAGATTCTACGCCAATTCGGTAGGTTCCAGGCCTGAACGTTGGTGCACCATTGAACTCGATGTCGACGATGTTGTTGAAGCACAGGGCCAAAATAAGGTCTTCTGGCACGTAAACCAGCCTCTCTCAACCTGTTCCTGACGGTCTGTGCAGAAAGCCTCCTCAATCCGGGTATTTGTCGAGTGGTACTGGTCGCCGTAGCTGTTCGATGACGCAGGTGATGTACCCAGATGTAGCAATCCTGCGCCGCAGTGGTCGCTCGAGGTCGCCCACTACGAGGGGCATCTGCTACCGCATTCTGCCGGCGATATCTCTCCCAGAGCCGTGAAATGGTTCTTTGGTGAACATTCATGCGTCGGGCAACTGCACGTTGAGACTGGCCAGCTTCAAGCAAACCAATTTTGCGTTCGTCAACAATATTCCAAATACAGTGAATAATCGACAGACAGCGATCAACCTTTTATACCCATCATTGAGACTATCTGATCCCCAACTTTCACGTGCATTGCATGTGAATTGTGTATTCTGTGACACTACACGCCGAACTTGAAAATCATGCTGTTAAATACGGGTATTTTACGGATGGTGCGTTTTGTTGTGATGTTTCAAAACATAAACACCATAGGACTCATAAACAGAGCAAAACCTTTTGTAAAATGAATCATGTATTAATTCATTTCTACATGAAATTGCTATTTTCATAATGCGTTTCTTTTTTGGGAGAGTATATATATAATATGTTATATATCCTGACTTTAAAGGGTTCTGGTATTATATCATTTCGTCATCAGTATGTATAGAGAATGAGAAGTGAAACCAAACTGAGCACACGTGCTGACCTGAGGAGAGTTTTGCATGTAAACTCTGTCAAAAAAGAAACGCAACCCCTGTCCTCAGATATGAAAAATTCGTTTTGAATGAAGTTATTGCTTCCAAACTAAATTTTATTCGAATGTATTGAAATGATACACGTAATTAATGAAGATTACCATCCAAACAACTGCATTTGTACGCATAAGTGTATTTTATTGCTTATTCCGTCACAACGCATGAAATGACCCTCATGGTGACTTCTGCACAAAAAACACATGCAAATCATGAAAATGGCAGTTAATGTAGGGGTGTATAAAAGCCCATGTGCTTCCGTATTATATTCATTCATTTGTCGCCGAAAAGCTGTGTTAAAATGCCACGATTGAGTGCTGCCGACCGAAATATCGCCATTGGTCGTGTTCAAGCCGGAGAAAGTTTTGGAACTGTTGCACGGCACCTAAATGTTCACAAAACAACGATATCCCGACTTTGGAGCCGCTACAACAACTGCAATTTGACCAACGATCGCCCGAGAAGTGGAAGGCCAAGAATCACGACCCCCCTTCAAGATCGGTACATCCGGGTCCATCACCTGCGTAATCGGCATGCCCTACCAACCGTGACTGCCACACAAATACCAGGTTTGAGGAGAGTGTCAGCTCAAACGATTAGGAACCGTCTGAAAGAAGCGGGTTTACGTGCCTGTAGACCAGTTGTTGGACCTGTACTACGCCCCTACATCGACGCCGACGACTCAGGTGGTGCAACAACGTAAGGATACGGACTTTACAAAACTGGAGGCGAATCTGGTTTTCTGATGAATCACGTTTTCTTTGCAACGTCACGACGGAAGACAGCGTCTGTATAGGAGACGTCATAAACGTTTTGCGCCCATCTGCGTCCGACAGGTGGACAGATTTGGCGGAGAAGCGTCATGGTTTGGGGAACCATCTCATACAACCAGAAATCAGACTTGGTGATCGTTCCAGGGAACCTGACAGCCCAACGTTACATCAACCACGTGTTAGAGCTTCACCTTCTCCCGATTATTGACCAACAGACACAGATTTTCAATGGGACAACGCCCGGCCTCATACTGCACGTGCAACAATGAACTTTCTGCAGAATTCCAACGTCAATGTCTTGCCATGACCCTCTAAATCACCAGACCTCAACCCTATTGAACACCTGTGGGATACTCTGGATCGACGCGTACGTCAACGTCAGCCGCCGCCACAGACGCTGCAACAGCTCGCCGTTGCACTGCAGGAGGAGTGGAGAGCCATTCCCCAGGAAAGAATCCGGCGTCTTATCCGTTCTTGTCCAAGGAGATGCCGTGCAGTGATTGCAGCGCGTGGTGCTCATACGAGATACTGAGAAAGACGCCCCTGGTGACAAACTGGTGTCTGTGAGATGACTTTTGAAATGACAATTTTAAACATGCCCATCTGGGTTATTATTCTGCCAAATTTCAGACTTCTGTCTTAAATAATAAAATGCCGTGTCGTCCTAAAACTTCAGATCAAAATCTCTAAAATACAGGGTTGCGTTTCTTTTGACAGAGTTTATGTCGCCACTCAATATGTAACATCTAAATGACGTATTTTGACGAGTTTTGAGCAGCCAACAACAGTAATTGAAATCAAGGCGTATAGTTGTAGGGTTTTTCGACGCTTTTAGCTAAGTTGCATTTATTTCACGCCGGGAGACATCATTATACGCTTCAAAACTTTTATCCATATCTGGAATCGAACTCGGATCTTCGGCGTGATGAGTGACCTCGTATTTAACTATTAGGCTGTCCTACCGCCATGTGACTGACATCGTGAACATGGCATACCTCAACCTCGTCAGTGATCCAATCAGTGACCCCGTCACTGGCTACATATGACCAGCAAGGGGCTGAAGATGAAGCAAATGGTTGTGTAGAATATTTCCGCCTATTGTAGCACATCATTCCGCATATATTCCTAATACCCGACACACTAGCCTAAAGATTAATCCATCACAATTTAGATTTGTGAAAGGGTGGGTGAGTGATTGTCACAGATTACACCAGATCTTCTGCCTTAACGAAACCAGCACACTGTTTTCACACGGAATGAATGACGAGTACACTGAACATACGAGTAACTCTAGTAAACCTGTTCCCTTTAAGATATCAGGTTCCTAACAAAAAAAAACCTTCATCACAACACGCATTCTCCCATGAGCCTCCAGCCAAAATGGATGGGGACGCAGTATCGCCGTTCGTTGAAGGGAGTCGACCACAGCCAAATACATGTTTCGTCTACATTCTGACGTCATTTGCAACACTTGGTGGTCTTCTGTTCGGATATGACATCGGGATCGTGTCGGGGTCGATGTTGCTGATTCAACCGTATTTCCAACTGTCGACACTGTGGCAGGAGCTGGTTGTCAGCGGTACAATCATTGCGGCGGTGGTGTTTGCTCTGGTGGCCGGCGTCATGGCTGACTGGGTTGGGCGTAAAAAGACGATAATGTCTGCTAGCGTTGTCTTCGTGTTGGGGTCCGTGGTGATGGGTGCGGCGTCGTCGAAGGAGATGTTGCTGGCAGGAAGGATTGTCGTAGGGGTTGGAGTCGGTATGTCGGTATATTTCAAAATGCTTTTATGTCATCGAGGTTAATGAAAGCATATGTGTTCGTTACTTGAAAACAGGGTTTGTGTGAAAATTATTTAAATTTGGTTACTATTTAGACAACTAGCTTTGCACTTTATCAAATTCGATCTAATCAGTGGTTATCCTCTGTGAAACCCATTTCTGGTGTCCACGGCGTGATATTGTTGGAATATTGCTTAAAGCGGCGTAAAACTAAACTCAATCACTCACGAGAATCGATCTTCAGCAACCCATGTTTGTCATAACAGGCGACTAACGGGCTGAAGTCAGGTTGACACATGTCATCGTATCCCAGTTGCGTTGATCGATGCTCATGCTGTCTATCACTACGTTGTCTGGTCCAGACTCAATGATGTCCAGACCGCTGCCATATAGCTGGAATACTGATGAGTGCGGCGTTAAACAATACACATACAAATTGAAGGTAATATGGGCCTGTTGGGTTTCCGGTTCCCTGTAAAGCAATGGCTGTAGCACTGCAGGTGGACAATGATGAGAAAGTGGTGTCAGTATTTGGGTCCACAATTTTGAATCCTCCACATTTACCCCGTGTCAGGTCTGGCCTCTGTGGCTGTGCCGGTGTACGTGGCGGAAGCTGCCCCGAAACACATCCGGGGACGTCTGGTGACCTTGAACCAGCTCTTCATCACCATCGGGATCCTCATCTCCTCCATCATCGCCGGCGCCTTCAGCGAACTCCAGGAGACGGGGTGGAGGTGGGGACTGAAGGAGAGCATTAGGTTGGCTGGGAGCCATGCTTGGGGATTGTGTGGAGGGATGGGTGGATGGTGTACTACCCATCTTGGGCCGACATGAACTAATTTAGGTGGGATGGGTGGGAACAGGAAGACGATCTTGAAAAACGCTGTCTTTAGTGTCAATTAGGCATCCCACACCATGATTGTCAGTTTATATAATGGAGAGTTTTGTCATCTTTATCACCTATTTCAGTTGTTTACCAGAACTGAAGCAACAAGAGGGTTGGCAGACACAGTCCACAGTGTTCCTGAAGCTCATTAATCTGGACAGACGTGCACAATGCCTGAACCTATATTGTCTGTGTCAGTGAGGGTGTTGGCACTGGAGAGGTGTTCACCTTTTTCATCACTGTCTGGGGGCGGTTGGGTAGTCTAGTTGTTAACGCATTCGCTCGTCACACCGACGACCCGGGTTCGACTCCCTACATGGGTACAATGTGTGAAGCCCATTTCTGGTGTCCCCCGCTGTGATTTTGGTGGAAAATTGCTAAAAGCGACGTAAACTCACTCACTAGCGGGGTGTTCACCTTCTCCATCACTTGTTTTGTTGTTGTTTATCAACAGGTACATGTTAGCACTGGCGGGGGTGTTCACCTTCTCCATCACTTGTTTTCTTGTTATTTATCAACAGGTGCATGTTAGCACTGGCGGGGTGTTCACCTTCTCCATCACTTGTTTTGTTGTTATTTATCAACAGGTACATGTTAGCACTGGCGGGGGTGTTCACCTTCTCCATCACTTGTTTTCTTGTTATTTATCAACAGGTACATGTTAGCACTGGCGGGGGTGTTCACCTTCTCCATCACTTGTTTTGTTGTTATTTATCAACAGGTGCATGTTAGCACTGGCGGGGGTGTTCACCTTCTCCATCACTTGTGTTTTGTTGTTATTTATCAACAGGTACATGTTAGCACTGGCGGGGTGTTCACCTTCTCCATCACTTGTTTTGTTGTTGTATCAACAGGTGCATGTTAGCACTGGCGGGGTGTTCACCTTCTCCATCACTTGTTTTGTTGTTGTTTATCAACAGGTGCATGTTAGCACTGGCGGGGTGTTCACCTTCTCCATCACTTGTTTTGTTGTTGTTTATCAACAGGTACATGTTAGCACTGGCGGGGTGTTCACCTTCTCCATCACTTGTTTTGTTGTTGTTTATCAACAGGTGCATGTTAGCACTGGCGGGGTGTTCATCTTCTCCATCACCTGTTTTGTTGTTGTTTATCAACAGGTGCATGTTAGCACTGGCGGGGTGTTCACCTTCTCCATCACTTGTTTTGTTGTTGTTTATCAACAGGTGCATGTTAGCACTGGCGGGGTGTTCACCTTCTCCATCACTTGTTTTGTTGTTGTTTATCAACAGGTGCATGTTAGCACTGGCGGGGTGTTCACCTTCTCCATCACTTGTTTTTTGTTTATTTATCAACAGGTGCATGTTAGCACTGGCGGGGGTGTTCACCTTCTCCATCACTTGTTTTGTTGTTGTTTATCAACAGGTGCATGTTAGCACTGGCGGGGGTGTTCACCTTCTCCATCACTTGTTTTCTTGTTGTTTATCAACAGGTGCATGTTAGCACTGGCGGGGTGTTCATCTTCTCCATCACTTGTTTTGTTGTTGTTTATCAACAGGTGCATGTTAGCACTGGCGGGGTGTTCACCTTCTCCATCACTTGTTTTGTTGTTGTTTTATCAACAGGTGCATGTTAGCACTGGCGGGGTGTTCACCTTCTCCATCACTTCTGTTTTCTTGTTATTTATCAACAGGTACATGTTAGCACTGGCGGGTGTTCACCTTCTCCATCACTTGTTTTGTTGTTGTTTATCAACAGGTACATGTTAGCACTGGCGGGGTGTTCACCTTCTCCATCACTTGTTTTCTTGTTATTTATCAACAGGTGCATGTTAGCACTGGCGGGGTGTTCATCTTCTCCATCACCTGTTTTGTTGTTGTTTATCAACAGGTGCATGTTAGCACTGGCGGGGTGTTCACCTTCTCCATCACTTGTTTTGTTGTTGTTTATCAACAGGTGCATGTTAGCACTGGCGGGGTGTTCATCTTCTCTCCATCACTTGTTTTCTTGTTGTTTATCAACAGGTGCATGTTAGCACTGGCGGGGTGTTCACCTTCTCCATCACTTGTTTTCTTGTTATTTATCAACAGGTGCATGTTAGCACTGGCGGGGTGTTCATCTTCTCCATCACCTGTTTTGTTGTTGTTTATCAACAGGTGCATGTTAGCACTGGCGGGCCTGTTCACCTTCTCCATCACTTGTTTGTTGTTGTTTATCAACAGGTACATGTTAGCACTGGCGGGGTGTTCATCTTCTCCATCACCCGTTTTGTTGTTGTTTATCAACAGGTACATGTTAGCACTGGCGGGGTGTTCACCTTCTCCATCACTTGTTTTGTTGTTGTTTATCAACAGGTGCATGTTAGCACTGGCGGGGTGTTCATCTTCTCCATCACTTGTTTTGTTGTTGTTTATCAACAGGTGCATGTTAGCACTGGCGGGGTGTTCACCTTCTCCATCACTTGTTTTGTTGTTGTTTATCAACAGGTGCATGTTAGCACTGGCGGGGTGTTCACCTTCTCCATCACTTGTTTTGTTGTTGTTTATCAACACATACATGTTAGCACTGGCAGGGTGTTCACCTTCTCCATCACCTGTATTTTTGTTTATGAACAGGTACATGTTAGCACTGGCAGGGTGTTCACCTTCTCCATCACCTGTATTGTTGTTGTTGATCAACAGGTACATGCTTGCTCTGGCGGGGATCTTCGCCATCTTCCAGTTTACTGGATTCTTCTTTCTTCCGGAGAGTCCAAGATGGCTGATGAACAAAGGGCGTGGTGATTTAGCACGTGCAGTTCTCACACGTATCCGAGGTGGGGAAGACATATCGGTAGAACTAGCAGACATCCGTTCATCAGTGACTGACGCAAGCAGTACCACAAAAGGTAAGGTGACTCTACCTGATTATGTCAAAATAATCCCGTGTAGGTTTCTTTAGCAGCAAAGGGCTAATGTAACCTAGATGACCACGAGGAGATAAGCCATAACCTGTGGAATAAATTATTACACATTACAGTTCAGTTAACAGGGACCAGTTTTGTTATGCTTTTTTCCAATAATACAAGTGTCATAGAGGATACCATTTCAATAAGTTTCTGTAAAATTTCATATATTCAAACAACGCAAGTGTTTCAATATATATCCACAGTGCACCAAAATTCTATCCCCTTTGTCTGTTTAATGTGTTCAGCAATCATTCCGAGCGGTGTAGCCCTCTTATCATAAACCCCCCCTCCGGGGAGGTCCCTTGATTCTTAATGCTATCAGTAATTGCCAATCAACACCTCACTACGTCAGCGGATCTTACGTATGTACATGTGCATAGGTCAGTGACCTTGCATATCGTGGCGTAATGTCCCTGTGTATAAACCTGACTCATGGAGACCAATTCAAGTAGGGAAACCAGTCCGAGACGAGGCGACGAGACGGGCCCAGATCATCAACAGGAGCGGACGGATTGTGCGGCAGGAGGGGCGTCGGCCAAGGCCGTCGGCTCACCAACGACTACGTCGACGATGAAGAACCGCTGTCCGACTTCTGAATGTGTGTAAGTGACAGAGCGGGTCTCCTCATCGGGAACATTGGCCACTCGGTCCTGATGTGCGTTCTGTCACGTGATTTCCATCTTATGTTCCATTTCTACCATTATTCCCCAACCATAATAAACATGGCTGCTGCTGTCTTCAACTTCACACCTGACTTGTCTTCCGTCTCTTGTCCACCATCCTGAACTACCATCCGAGAGTAACCCCAACGAAGGACGCTCCTGGGCACAAGCATAGAAAAACGTGCCTATGTCACCATTGATGAATTTAATGCAGGTATCCCTCAGTCAGTTTACTTGACTAAAACCACTAGCTAGGAATAATATGTTTTCTAAATGTTCTCACATTTCAGTTTTCTAAATGAAGAAAAATGTTAATACCGCAGTGCATGCTGTTAGCACAATATGGATGCGGGCACCTAAATGTGCACGACAAGGATCTAACTCTGGAGGCTGGGACCATATGATAATCCAGGAGGAACTGCTTTCAAAGCCACGTCATCAGAATTAACACTGTTTGGGTTCCGGTTAGAGTAATACACCTTTGTTTTACGTATGTACACACCACTGTGCCAGAAGGCGACTCGGGCTTCTGCATCAACAGTGTTCCAATGCATTGTACTATCTACCTTACAGGTGGTCGACCGGTGATTCTCCGAGTGCTGTCAACCCCTCACGTGCGGAAGGCTCTGATGATTGGCGGGGGTCTGTCAGTCTTCCAGCAACTGTGTGGTATAAACACCGTAATGTGCGTTCTGCTCATCCATACATTTATCATCTTAGAAATATGCTTGAATATCATTTGGTGCCATCACCTTTCCTTTTATTTCGATAAAAGTTTGTTTCGAAAACTGAACAAGATCGTTTGAACTTAGGAAATACAAACAATGTCACGACACTAAACATCGCCAGATATATGTGAACACATACCTAGGATCATTTTGCATTTAATCTTTCCAATAATACGTCCGCAAGGATAACACCAGATGATTGAATGTCCGGCAGCACTGACAGAATATTTGTCCAAGGTGAGACCTTGGGCCGCGATCTTGGCTTCTAGTCAATGGAGTGTCATAGTCACATTTGTAAATTTTGAAAGCAGTGTTTCAAAGTACAGTTTTGTGGCTGTTTGGTTGGTTATTTTAGGCTGTTATATATTCTTCATAACTTCAAGCTTACAACAATTATCATGAAGAATTGTCTCAAGCCCACGTCAAGTAAAGGGCATTTTAGACAGAAGCAGCCTCTAGTATTATCCTATTTCGGTGCGTTTCAACATTTAAGGAAGTTTAACTGTTTTCATTGATGATCATTTAGTGTATAATGGCTATTTGTGAGACCTTTAAGGGACATATATTTTACATTGTCTACGACAATCAGTAATAGTAATGGTGGTTTTATTATACATAGATATCAGGTGGAAAGGTCAGGTACACGAAGAACATCTCAGATCGCAGTTTACAAAGATTGTAACAAAATAACAAGATACTTTGAAAGCAATTTCACCTGAAATGTCCGTTGTCTTTTGAGGCATAAAATGCTTTTGAAGGGTATCGGTGAGAAATCGTAAAATGTCGACAAGTGGCTCAATGTAACAAGATTGTTACCAAACGCACATTAATGTCCATATACTTGTTAATTCTGCATCTTAAAATGCATTAACATTTTGTTTCCAGCTTGACTGCATTTACCCCAGCTACAAATACTATGTAGTCGTATAACATGTTCTGGCCTGTTATGTCTTTATTATGTAAATTGTCAGGCAACAGAAGTATTCACTTGAAATGTGATTGGACAGACGAATGATCAAAACGTTACTTGTTTGAAAACAGTCAGGCAACAGAAGTATTCACTTGAAATGTGATTGGACAGACGAATGATCAAAACGTTACTTGTTAGAAAACAGTCAGGCAAACAGAAGTATTCACTTGAAATGTGATTGGACAGACGAATGATCAAAACGTTACTTGTTTGAAAACAGTCAGGCAACAGAAGTATTCACTTGAAATGTGATTGGACAGACGAATGATCAAAACGTTACTTGTTTGAAAACAGTCAGGCAACAGAAGTATTCACTTGAAATGTGATTGGACAGACGAATGATCAAAACGTTACTTGTTTGAAAACAGTCACCACAACACTGCAAACTAAAAGGTCAATAAAACAATAGTGGGACCCGTATCAGATACCTCACCATCAGATACACGTTGTTGTCTGATTTATGCACCGCCAACATCAATAAAGGATGGAGTATTTCTTGTCGCTGATCAGGTGTCTTTGGCAGTATATGTTGAAGTTGTTCGGGTATTCACAAAATAATTGATCAGTTATTGCTGAACTTGGGCCTTGGCTGGGGAATTTCGAGTCTGTGTTTAGTTGTTTAAAACTGGACAGAAATGGGGACCAGAATTCTGTGGAGTTGTTATCGTAAAGGTACAATGAACCAAACATACCAGGGTTTCTGTTTCCACGACAGCCTTGCACAAGAAAACTTATGTTCCCCTGCAGATACTACAGTGGTACGATTCTCAAGATGGCGGGGTTTCCGGTGAAGCACGCTATCTGGTTGGTTGTTGTGCCCAACGTCGTCAACTTCCTGGCTACGTTCATTGGCTTGTGGCTGGTGGAGAGGCTGGGCAGGCGACGACTTCTACTCATCAGTGTGTTCGGTAAGAGGATTGATCACAAACTTAGCTGATCACAGTTGATCATTGTTCGTCATCCATTGTTTCTATTGCTTTACGTCATAGTTAAGTGAAGTTCAGATGTTTGTATTTGTGACAAAACCATTTCCAAACTACAAAAAGTTCACAGTACGATTCATGAATTACTATCAAATAGGATAACACCAATTACGTAATAAGGTAAGCGTATCGAAGTCACCAGTCACAAACACATGTACAGGCAAGCCAATTATTCCCCTTTAAAAGCAAGGAAGTCAAAAAAGAACAAATAAGTCTAATTTGTAAATAGGCTTCACTTGTCTGCCACAACACTGTTTGAATGATTAACTGACGAATGTTGTTATCACTCCTGGGTAACAGTTGCATCATGCCCTTCGACATCTTCGTATAAAACATCAGATCGACAACCATATGGGTCTGAAGGATTAAAAACTTCTTCAAACAGACTGCAAGTGATATGATATATGATAAGAGTGAGAGAGTGAGTGTGTTGGGTTTTACGCCGTTTTAGCAATATTCCAGCAATATCACAGCGGGGGACACCAGAAATGATATGATACGATGGATCATGAATATTATTGACGTAGGGTAAATCTATCTAACATGGAACGCCATACTGAAGTTCTCACACTCTGCCGCCTCGTTCATTCCTGTGTATCCCTTACATATGGCAAGCAATATATGTACTTTCGTACGTGCGTGCGTATATGAGCGTGCCTGTGTGTGTTGGGATGGTGTAGGTGGGGTTGGTGTGGTCGAGGGTTCCAGTCGTCTAAGGCGCCGCTATTCGCAATGTGTTGTCTCCCTTTTACGTTAGCTTATTCTCGTGGGTTCCAATCCTAAATTCCCCCTGATCGAGGCTTGTCATCACTGTACCAGTCTATTATAGTGAAGTGGCTAGGTAAGACATGCATTACTTCGGGTTTTCCTCCCCATCAAGCTCCCACGCAGTATTGTAAATATGAACCACTCTCTTCAACAGGTGTGATTGTATCGTTGGCGACGCTTGCGATCGGCTTCCAACTGGCGTACGTTTACTCGCCTCGACTCAACCATGGGGCTACAAACTCTACATTGACAACATTCAGCGACACCAACATTACCACACAGCACCTCTGCCTGCAACCGTTCAGGTAAGTGTTCGTATCCTGTACCACGACATCTGCATAAGACTAATTGATGTCACCTGTCACCTGAAGTATGTCATAATTTCATAAACAGTGTTTTTTCACACCTAAACGGTGTGTGTCACACGTGACAGACGTAAATATGGCATGCACAATGTTTTCTGACACACAGGACATGTGAAGAGTGCATCCATCACATGGAGTGTGGCTTCTGCCAGAGCGGCACCAAGGAAGCGACCTGTCTCCCGGCCAGAGATGAAACAGCCTCACTGATTGGTCCGTGTAATTCAACCAGCGCAGGGGTGTCAGAATTCACGTGGGCTTATGGCTACTGTCCAAATGACTACACGTGGATATCGGTTGTCGGCATGACCATGTTTGTCCTTGCATTTGCACCGGGTAATTTTTCTGCTTTTTATTTTTCATTCACCCCAGACACTCAGGGGATAATATTATACTATCCCTCTTCTTCTTCTCTCTATTGGGGGCCAGTCGTCAAAGACGCAGCAAGTCCTTTTGTAGAGTTGTGTGGTCAAAAAAGTATATATTTGACCTGAAAAGAATCCAACAAGGTTTACGTTTTTGTGTGCAAATATAACGCGATCTCTGGTAGTACAAAACCTTTTTCGCAATGATTCATTAAAAACTGCCCCGGTGGAGTAGTCACAAACCCCAAGCATACACGCAGGCACAGGCATTGAGGCATGAATCACAGGCACAGCCCTTCTGACACTCTGGGTAATGCAGAAGGCTGCAGTGTTGGGGAGCCTTCATATTCTCCGGAAAGTTCTTGGTGGGTTCGACTAGGCAGCGTTTCCTGGGAGAAGTCCCATTCGCTGTCTGGGCTGCGTGTAGAGGGGGCAAGGGCCCTGAGCTGATGATGAGCCTTGCCAGCCTGACTGTGCCAGGATCACCCGAACCCTCTCTGCTGCATACTATCTTTAATCTGTAAAATATAATAATAATAATATAAAATGCAATAGCAATAATCATTTTCTGTTCCGGGTATCCCGGGGAAGGCTACCCGCATGGGTATATCGTGTGAAGCCCATGGGGGCCATCTCTGGTGTCCGCCCACCCCACCCCAAGAAGGGATATATTGCTGGAACTATAGCGACAAAATTTAATCCTTCTATTTATTGCACTTGGAATATATACAGAAAATACAGATGAGCTATTCTCAAAAATTTTCTTGGTTTGATGACACGCTATATTATCGCACGTTTCGTTGAGTTCTCCACACAGACCATTAACTTCATGCCGCATTAACTGTCATATAACACATGTTTGGTCTTGCATATATCAACCAGATGATGTATATGTTCATGTACAGGCCTGGGACCAATGCCTTGGACTGTCAACTCGGAGATATACCCACTGTGGGCGAGAAGCACGTGCAACTCGGTCACCACAGCCACTGTGTGGATATGTAATTTCATCGTGTCTATGACATTCCTCACCTTCACAGAACTCATCACCAAGCATGGTTAGTTACGCTCATCACACCATTAGCTGCACACGCAGAAACAGCATTGCGCAACTGGCATAAGTGAACAGTTGGCGCCAGTTGGAGTGTGTTACGTTCATATTTCATATTAACCAATATATTTTTAATATTACGCTTTATATATTCATAAACAGGTGTCTTGCATGTGTGTAAAGTGCTCGCCCACGTGAATTCTTTCAACTTATATTGTGAGAAGTTGACGATTATTTGATATTTATAAACTATCGGACAGAAGAAAGTTTACCGACTACACTTGGCCCCCAAAAATGAAGAAACTAAAAAATGTATGTGAAATTTATGATGATTATTTAACAAACATAAATCATTTTCCAGTAAAACGACTGAAAATTCATTGTGATGCTGGTCTTGCATTTGCCGCAATTAAAGGGGGGGGGGGGGGATTATAAATAACACAAATCAGAGTTCATTCAAAAAGTGCATAATGAGATAGAAGGCAGGAGACACGTCATCAATAGCGAGTCTGACCACCCTGAGCATCCAACACACATCTCCCCATTTACGTCGTCAGTCGACGGATGACGTCTGCAGGAATCCTGTTCCATCTGTTCAAGTTCCTGTCGGTTCTCTAGAGATGCCTCGGATGATCCCAGACATGTTCAAGGAGGTTCTGGCGAAGCGCTGGCCAAGGCAGAACGTTCACGTTAACGCTGTTCGGGGTATTCTCGAACAATTCTGGCGGTGTGAGTCATTGCGATGTCATGCTGCAGAATGGCCCCTCTTGGCTGTTGTCGAATAGAGGGAACCACAAAACGTCTCAATGCTTCATCCCTGTAACCCTGGGCAGTCAGATGGGCACTCACACACACTCACTCACATACACACACACGCGCGCGCTCATGCTTGCACTACAAAGTATCTTAAATTATTCACTATGCATACGAATCGTCTTAAAGTATGAGAGATACAACTGAATCAATCGGTGACATTTTATAACAGATAACAACAATTATATGATTAATTTAAAGCTTACAAATACGTTTTCAAGCGTCTGTGGTTTAATTCACTCTCCATTTTAACCCACATTATGTAGAGGATCATATTTCCGATATATTGTCTGTTGCCCTCAGGCACATTCTGGATGTTCAGCGGTGTCTCTGTGCTTGGCCTCATCTTTATCTACATCTTCCTCCCAGAGACGAAGGACAAGACCCTGGAGGAGGTGGAGGAGCTGTTCATGTCGCCGCAAAAGAAAGTCCATAGAAGGCTGTCACAAGGAGAGGAGGATGACTAATGTGCTGCCTTGTGATTTCAGAACAGACTAAATTGTTATAACTACAGTACTAATCGTAAGCATCTATATACAAATGTCAGTGGGGTCGAAATTTGCAGTGCAGAGGTTCCCTCGTTTGATCGTGAGTTCGAATTCCTAGATACACTAGGATTATTATCCTTGGGTTGTTAATACCATACCCCGTGCATGGCCTGCGTAGCTTTAGAACAACTTCATATAACGATAACATGAACAATACTTGTAATAATGGAACATTATCTGAGTCAACAACTAAGACATTTCCAGTCTACAGCTGAAATGACATTGTGTTCACGTCAAAGATCCGATTTCGGTTGTAAACACCGGTAACGTTTTCGAAGAGTTTTCTTTGCTTGTCTTGCAGTGACATTGCTCGAATATTGAAGCCGGGCATTATTATGAGCCAGTGTCATCCAGTATAAATAGCTCGTTTGAAGGCAATGTTCATGCATTATGATTGCCGTTACTGACAATGTATGAGATAATACGGAAATAATGTAATTCCATGAATATGTATGCACTTGTAGCTTGATAAGCTCAGATACATACAGATAACCTAGTTATATTTCCTTCAGTGCATGTTTCAATACAGATAACGTTTTTGTGCCTTTCCTTTTATATTTTGCGTACATTTCAGTGACGCCAGACACAGTCACAGTAAGCTACGCTTATAACACTCTTATACCAACACGCTTATAACGAACTGAGTTATGGTCCCGGCCACCGTATACTTTAGTTGCCTTGCGTTTAACGAAATGCAGTTATAACGAACAAATAAACGCGCAAAAACAATTGATGTAATCACGTCAATATACCACGGGGCATTTATGAACAGAATATCAAAACGTACAGCTGCATGGTTGAACTCGCACATCTGTTACACGCCTAAAGAGCGGAATATTTCTACGCGGAAATCAATACACGGCGTTATAACATACTTCTCCTGGTGAAACGTGAACACACAACCTTTAACCTCCAGGGTCTGACTTGTCCTGTCAGTCGATCACGGGACCAAGTAATCAAGCAGTAACATGTCGTGATGAGGGAAGAAAGTGATAACGCTGTCGGAGACGATCATGGACGAGAGGGGAGTGAGGCAGGGCGGGTTGCTAACTCCAAGTTTGTTTACGTGGTATCGCTATTCGCTACGCTCGGCGGCTTTCTTTTCGGCTATGACACAGGGATCGTTTCCGGGTCTATGCTCCTAATTAGGCCATATTTCAAGTTGGATACAATATGGACGGAGGTGATAGTAAGTGGGACGGTTGCCTCGGCGGCCGTCTTTTCGTTATGTGGAGGATACCTGGCAGATTATATTGGAAGAAGGCGAGCTATCATGGCGGCCAGTGTCGTGTTCACTGTCGGCGCTGTGGTCATGGGTGTTGCTCCTGATAAGGAGCTACTTCTGGTTGGGAGAATCATCATAGGAATCGGGATAGGTATGTTGTGTAGCTCACCTTTACATATATAACATAATTAGAAATTCTGGGCGTTTTTAATTTTGTGTGTATTTTTTAAATACTATTTGTATAATGCATATTTATGTACATACAACAGTACCGTTTATGAAAATACGTATAGAGATTACACATTGCAAGCTATACATTATCACAGGCAGATGACATGAAATCTCCAGAAATTCTGCTCGCGACTAGGGTTCTACAAGTTTATCAGTTAGTTACTTGGTCCAAAGAAAGTGTCTGCAAATACTTTTCAATAATATTCATTCTACATTTAGAAGTTTCTCTGAGCGACATCATCTAACATTTAACTCATTCTCAAAACACCCTACGCCGACCTTTCTCAGATCTATCCCCATGTCTCTGAATATATATAATTTAGGTAGAAACAAACAATTCAGTTTAAATTGAAAAGGAGCCCCAGTGAGAAGCGAGATCCTGAACATGAGGAAATCTAGACTTGCTTCAAATAGTGCTTGAACACTGCAGAAAGGGTTAGGAAAGGAAAGGAAAATAATTATGCAGTTCAGGGACTGAGAGACAGAATACCCATTGTCATCCCCTTGTCACTTCCCAACCCTCAATACCAAATAACACCCCCGTCCCCCCGGCATGTGCCATTTGACGTCACTTTCGCCTGTTGACATAAAGTTTGTGTGATTATCAAATTAAAAATGCATGATGTTGTTATATAGATTAAATATTTAATCAGGGACTCTGTATACAGTTCGTCGCCATAACTACCAAAACTAACTACAATATCTACTCATAATGAACACTCAATCTATTGCCATGATGGCTCGGCCATTTTCGTCTCACATGACATTTGAAATGAGATGGTATTTATTATGTTAGCAGTGGGACATTGTTTTGCATTCAGTCAGTTCTCTATTTGACCTTAGCAACTTCGACCAAAGTGAAATGTGTGATTTATTCTAGGTTTGCCGAGGCATTTGCTTATGAAATGGAATGAAATTTCTTACATGAGTTGTAGAAAATGGGATCTATCACATGTTCGGGATTAATTTATGTTTCCTTCACATTCTATATTTACCATTATTTACCTGTCACTGTCACGTGCTTCTTAATTCTTCCAAAATGCATTTTCTCTCACTGTAAATATCTCGACAAGACCAATGTAGCTGACATTTCACGTGTTCTTTTCTTGAAATTTTCCCACCTTAAAATATGAACGTACATATAACACTGTTTAAGTGAGGGAATCCTGCAGGTATTGCAACGAGCACGGTTCCCAGACACCACTTTATGTTGGGTTGTATGTTATAGTCCGTTTGATTTCATTTGAGACCGTTGAATTGCTCACTAACACAAAATCTAATAATTACAACAAAACCAAATTTTGCACAGTCACATGAAATCGTCAGACCAACTCTGATGATTTGTCTCATAATTTTGGACACCCGAATAAAAAGTTGTTTTACAAACGATCAATATTTTGTTGTCACTTTTCGCTATTTCTTACGAGGGGGGACCACTTGCTGGTAAAACAGCCAGGTGTGCGAGTTATATGTGTGAAATTGAAATTTCCCTGCACACACTTGTTGATTACCTGGCTGTTCTACAGCTATCTGATCAGCCATTCCATCCACAAGACCATGAGCGTTTTGTTAAAAAAAGAGTTTCAGAAACCCGCTGCCACATTCACTACATCTTTTAACAGTATTGCTTTTTACAATATATATTTAGGTAGGATTATATTCGGGGTGAATAAAGGATCCATGAATTGCGGATATTTGCACAAACCATTTAGCAAGGGGCACAACTCTTGACAGCTTGTTGCGGTCAATTAGCTGGTCGCCCCATGTTCTCCAGTTCGGCTGAGATATGACAGAATATACACCATGTCTGCTTGTCAGGGTTTGCATCGGTGACAGTCCCCGTGTACGTGGCGGAAGTGGCCCCCAGGAACACCCGGGGGATGCTGGTGACCTTGAACCAGCTCTTCATCACCATCGGCATCCTCATCTCCTCCATCATCGCCGGCGCCTTCAGCCACCTTCCTGACACGGGGTGGAGGTGATTAGAATTATAGAAATTTCAATATTAAAAGTTGAATCACCTTTTCAGTATCCCGTTGTCACTTTCAACATTGTAACTTTTGATATCTTTGCTGGACACAGACTCTCAATTTCCCCCGTCATCAGTTAATCATTGTGATGCGGTTGTCGCACCAAAGTACAATGCAGTTGTCGCAGTAACAATGTCGTTACCGGTGCTCTGAGGTCCTGTAGCACTGTTAACGGAACACCTGACGCCCTGTAGCAATTCTGTTGACGTTGTGACGCCCTGAGCCAATGCGGACAGACGTTATGACGTCGTGCAGCAATGTTGTTGACGATGAATCGTATTGCAGCCAAGCTCTTAACACCGTGACGCCATGTAGCAATGGTGTTGCTGGAATCATGATGGTGGAAGCACTGCTGTTGACGCTGTGACGCCATGTAGCAATGGTGTTGCTGGAATCATGATGGTGGAAGCACAGCTGTTGACGCTGTGACACCCTGTAGCTAGGACGTTTATCCTATGACGTGGAGCAGCAATGCTGCTTTGGACGCTGTGGCGATCAATGCCGTGAATATTGTAACGCCCTGTTGGACTGCTGTTGCCACTGTCAATGTCTTTTTCATCTGTGACGCTATGTAACAATATTGTCCTAACGCCCTGCATCAAATATGTTGATGGTGGCTTACCGTGACAATGGTGTTTACGCATTTGACAATCTGTAGCAATGATGTTGACAATGGTACATTGTACCAATGGTGTTGACAATGGTGCATTGTACCAATGGTGTTGACAATGGTGCATTGTACCAATGGTGTTGACAATGGTACATTGTACCAATGGTGTTTACAATGGTGCATTGTACCAATGGTGTTGACAATGGTACATTGTACCAATGGTGTTGACAATGGTACATTGTACCAATGGTGTTTACAATGGTGTTGACAATGGTACATTGTACCAATGGTGTTGACAATGGCGCATTGTACCAATGGTGTTGAACCAGTAACGTCCTGTAACATATCGTTCACGTTTGGGCGCCCCTGCATAGCTGTAAAGGTTGTCATGCCCTGTAGCAGTTCACGCGTCAAAGCGATGTGCTATACAGTTAAATTCCGCGTTAAACGTGCATGCAGAATGAACCAGGGAATGCGTAGCATTAACTACTGTAGCTCTGATACAAGTGAAGTGAGGCAAGCAGGCTGGAATTAGATTTCTTATCAAAGGCAGTAGTACACTCAACTCTGAAAGAAACGCGAATCCTTTTTGGCGATGTCGTTTTACGTGCTAGAGATCAGGTGTCTCACTTTGAGATTGTGGGTTCGAATCCCGAATATGATTCAACCCCCAAATTACTACAATGGCTACTTTCATGGCTATCTATATTAACATCAGATCTAGTGTCAGATCACAGTGTCGTCGTAACTTTGGCAGACCAAGCACTGAAGAAAGGTTTCTATACTGTTTATAGCAAATTAATGTTACCACTTCAAATAATCAGAGGGAAACATCGCGTTTCTTTTGGAGCTGAGTGCACTAGTTTGTGCCATGTATATCACTGTTTCTGTAGGGCTTCAGGTTTCGAGTGTTGTAATGTGAAATTGTTATGTATCATAATGCATAATTCATGCAACATGCAGAGTGGAATTATGAAGAAAAGGTCCTAGTATGTAGTATAATGCATTTGCGACCCTGTGATCCAGTGTTAGCTATAGCCTCTGATCGAGGTCGAGGTTGACATTGCCTTTCTGAGCGATAAGAACATGCGCTGGTCGCCAAAACACCCCATGCAAACTTTCTAACTCTCATATTGTTCGTACACAGTAGATACCCTTCTGTAAGTCACGTTCATCCTCTATAACCAGATGTTATAACAAGGTGATATACTGATGTTGTATAACATGTGCTGGAACTAGGCTTTATAACGAGGTGTGTTTCTGTGTTTCACTAGGTACATGCTGGGGCTGGCTGCTGTCCCCGGTATTGTACAGTTTGTGGGGTTCCTCTTCCTCCCCGAGAGTCCCCGATGGATGCTCGATTCAGGGAACGAGGGAAAGGCTCGTGAAATCCTCGTGCAGATTCGCGGAACGTTGGATGTCGAGGAGGAAATGACGGCCATTAAACAGAAACTGGAGGAATCCAGGAAAGCCTCTTCAATCAGTGAGATCTCAAACATCGTTCATTCAAAGGACAAATCATAACACGCCATGTTAATGAAAGAGATGGAAAGCAATGACTCAAAACAGAAGTTCAATGTCAAAGAAATACCAAAATTTCAAAAGCAAAGTAATTTCTACAAATTTGGCATCACATTACATATATGTTATGAATGTTCATGACGTTTGTGGTTCGTTATGGAGCGTCAGACGCTGTCAGCGCTAATTCAATTGTTCTTCTTGTTATATCATTTCCCGCCGTGATATTGCTGGAATATTGCTAAAAGCGGCGTAAAACCCAACTCACTCACTCACTCACTGTTATATCATTTAACCAAATCTGTTTTACGAAAGGTGACTTCATATGACTCACCTGGATTATAAATACGTTGACTAACCCTGAATATTGGATAACAGCTAACTGTACGCTCTTGTATCAGTGTTGCCAAATGCTTTCAAATAGGCAATCAATCGGGACACGCATGCATACTCTATAATTCCTCTGGTTTTATCAAAGTTTGATAAAACAGCGACACATCTGTCCTTGCGAACATTACTGTAGTAGTTAAACAGTTCTCTCTTTCTTGGCGACGTCACCCAATATGTCTGTCTGACACACAGCATTAGCTGTTGGCAGGCTGATGTTAGCAGCGGGTCGTTTTTCGTTATTCGTTTTACAAATAACGCAAAACATGCTAGCAGCGGGTTCGTTATTCAAAGGCGGAAATGAAACATTTAAAGTGGTGTGGTCATACACACTGAAACTAAACAAAGACCAAAGTTCCTTTTACGGGTGTACCACAGCGCCCGAGCTGGTTAGTTATTGCGCTTATTATTGAAAAAACTTAGAACACACAACTGTAGATGTTTCATGTACAGCACGTAACTTCAATTTTTGCAAATGTAAAGTCGTCAAAGGTTTTGTGTTAACAGCCGGGTTGAGGAAAGAATATATGTGAAAATTGGAGCTTTTATGAACGGATTCAGTCCCCAAAACACCTGCAAAGACAGCAAGGTAGCAGCTTCGGTCAGTAAGCGTTCGTAGCTACGCTAATCGCAGGCCTATGATAAGTTATAGGCCGTGACTGTGTATAGGCTTTGTAGTGGTCTGACTGTACCACCATACACGAGATATTGACCTTATACCCATGTTTCAGACAACGGGTGTACCCTGAGCCAGGTGCTCACCACCCCCCACGTCAGGCGGAGTCTGTTTGTCGGTGCCGGGCTCCAGTTCTTCCAGCAAGTCTGCGGCATCAATACCGTTATGTAAGTTCAGACGTCAGTAGCTTCACCCTCCATCAGGGGCAGTCTGCTTCAGAATACATGTACAATGCTTCTGGGTGTATTGGGGATGGGGATCATTTGACATGCCGGATGTCCCCAAAAATTGTTAAAAGGAACGCCTTTTGTAACAGAACGTCGCTCAGAAAGATTTGAAATGTTTGAACATTTTGTATTCCAATTGCTTCAAAGTGTAATAAAAAATTTCGGTCGCAAACGTTTTAAACTTTTATCTGAAAATTTTGTTTTTACAAAATTATTTACCGCCTACGTGATGTAGTGGTTAGAGCGTCCGCCCGGAGAGCGGAAGGTCGCGGGTTCGATCCCCGACCGCGTCATACCAAAAGACGTTAAACTATGGCGCACTTGTTGGTCCCTGCCTGGCGCTCGGCATTAATGGGTACAACAAGGACTGGTCGGCTCGGAGTCAGTATAATGTGTCTGTGTGGGGTATTCATGCTTCACTGCCGCATGGTATCTCAGTGGGCTAGCACTATAAAACCAGCTTAAGTCTGGGCTAGTACAAGCAGCCGCACATACACATACACACGCATGCACGTCGTCATATGAGCGAAATATTCTCAAGCACGACGTTAAACCCAATTTCACCTCACCTCACAAAATTATTTGATGATTGATAAATTGAGAGAAATTCGTTTTATGTCGGTTATGTAACGCATATATCAACACAGAGGGAGATTTGATACAAGGTGTATACTCATCACTGGTTGTCCAATATTCCAGATACTACAGTGCGACCATCATGGTGATGGCGGGGTTTCCTGTGCGATATGCCATCTGGCTAGTTGTGGCACCCAACGCTGTCAACTTCCTCGCCACCTTCATCGGCATGTACCTCATCGACAAGCTGGGCAGGAAGGTGTTGCTTCTATGCAGCTTCGTGGGTAGGTAGAGGAGTAGTTTGGAGGTGGTTATTGAGGGGATGTGTGACTGGGGGAAAGAGGGGGTGAAGAAAACATTGCATTGAACAGTGAAACAGTGATGAGATTGAACACAGGTGACTTTGGGCACAGAAGGTGTTGAGCAATTATTCAAAGAAATTTCACTCATTACTCACGTATTAAATGTGAATATTAGCAGAACATAACTCCAGATTCAAAGACAGGTGAACAGTTAGTATTTTGTCAAGTCAACATGGGCAGCAATGCAGGCTTCAATGCGGCGGAGCATACTACTGATGAAAGAAGTTAGAAAGTCGTGGTCCATGCTGTCCCAATATCGGACCACCTCTTCTTTCATGTCAGCAATATTTGTCAGATTTTTCTTATTGACACTTTCCTTCATATGTCCCCAAACATTTTCTATTGGATTTAGGTCAGGGCTATAGCTTGGCCAATCTAATAATGTCATATTTTGGGTCCGAAACCAGGCCTGTGAATGCTTTGAACGATGTTTTGGGTCGTTGTCCTGCTGGAAAATCCAAAACTTTCCATAGAACACGTGAGCAGATGGAAGTAAATGTCCCTCGAGAATATCTGTGTACCGCTCACTGTTCATATTCCCTTCAAATACACAGAGGGGCGTTGCCCCTAACACAGATATGCCACACCACACGTAGACTAAGGCTTAGTCTCTGAATATATATAATTTTGATAGTAACAAACAAGCCCATTTATATTGAAAAGGAGCCCTAGGGAGACCAGAGATTCAGAACCTGAGGAAATCTAGACTTGCTTTATTTATGGCTTTAGCACTGCAGAGAGGGCTTGGCAGTAGGGAAATTAATGTGGTTCAGGGACTGAGACAGACTACACCACACGTTAAATTTCGGACTGTACTTTGGGCGCTGATACAAAGGTTTTTCAGTTTATTTGGTTCAGAATTTCAGTGGATTAGGAAACAGCCACACAGAACTTTCATCTAAGAAAATCACATTGTCCCAGTTGAAATTTCTTTGCTGTAAACACCAGTTCAACCTTCGCTCCTTTTGTTCATGTTTCATGATCGGTGATGGAATTCCTCGACTTTTCTGCCAACCCATTGCATGCAGCTCAGTTCTAATTGTCTCCTTACAGACAGCCACAGTCCCTCTATCAATCATATCCAGCCTTACGTTTTTTAAACTCCTTCGTTTGCTTTTAGAAACAAGAATACCAAGCCGCCTCTTGTCACCGACAGTCAATTTTCAGGGCCTACCTGCGCCTCCCTGGTGCTCAGTGCCATATCCATTTGCAATATTTTTCAAAACACGATAAACAGTGGACAAAGGGATGCCTGTCCTACTTGAAATCACTTTAGCTGATCTGATGTCCTTGATATAATACTCTAAAATCAACTTCCTCTTCTCTTAATCATCATACTGAGGATCACTGAAAATGTCGTCTGCTAGCAAGTAAACAAAGGGGGATAACTCTTCACAAACTAATGAAAAAGGATTAACGGAGTTGTCTCTCTTGAATGAAACCAGGCACTTGATAGCTGGTCAAGGTTGTTTATACTAGAAATCCAATTAAACATATTCCTAAAATTCTCAATAAATTCTGGTCATACTATACAGTAATTGCTGTAATCAGCAAGCAGCGATGTAATAAATTTAGTTGGGCGAAAAAAATAATCCTTTCACATAACATATTATAAAATATAAAATTTCTAATTAATAAGGATCCAATTTATTTTAAAAAACATGCTTCAGGTGTGTTCATCTCTCTTGGTGTCCTGGCTACCGGCTTTCAACTCGCCGCCATTAATTCTCCATCAATCAACGTCACGGAGACATTCAACAATGAGACCTATACCGGCGCTTGTAACAAACTGTACAGGTAACCTCTACATAGTTTAGGGGTGTTGGGGTAGCATAGTGGTTAAAGCGTTCGCTCGTCACGCCGAAGGCCCGGGTTCGATTTCCCAAATGGGTACAATGTGTGAATCCGATTTCTGGCGTCCCCCGTCGTGATATTGCTGGAATATTGCTAAAATCCTCCTCAGTGTGTAACAGGCTGACAGCACATATTTAGTGAATGTCCCTGTGACCGAGACATGAGTCAGCCACAGTTAACAGCGTTTGTTTCATGTCGTCAGCAACTGCGATCAGTGCACCACGAACACCGACTGCGGCTTCTGCTATGACGTCTCTACAGATGGTTCCTGTCTTCCTGTTGATTCTAACGACAATGGTCGCTCATTGGTTGGTCGGTGTAATGCAAGTGACCAATCAGTGTCCAGCTTCACGTTCGCCTACGGATATTGTCCTAACAACTATTCATGGATGCCTGTCCTTGGGATGGTGCTCTTTGTGTTCTCATTTGCACCAGGTAAGAACCAAAGTGTATTTTCTAACGTAATAATTTCAGGTGTAATGTTTCATATGTTAAGTATTCCATATACTGATATGATAAAGAAAAAGACTCCATGCTGCTGCCACCCTTTGGCTGGAATATCGCCGAGTGCGGCGTTAAACAAACAAATCAGATTCTGTGTTGCGTGTGATCGAAGCATGTCGTTACTATTCTGCCTGAATATCAGTCGTAGTCTCAGCTCCACGTGGAATACACAATATTACATAAATTCAAGGAGCCAGATGTTTTGCATTCTTCTTACATTATCATATTATTTCAATTTATATAAACATTTTGATTTCTATTTGTTAAAATCAGGAAATCTTACCGCTAGTATGATCTGATATTTTGTCCTAGACTATACATCGTATATCAGACAACGATACTGACCATGTTCTGGTCATGTTTTCAAGGTCTTGGACCAATACCATGGACCGTGAACGCGGAGATATATCCCCTGTGGGCACGTGGCACGTGCACGGCCATTGCAGGAGCCACAAACTGGTCATTCAATCTGCTCATCTCCCTCACGTTCTTGACCCTCACAGAGGCCATTACAAAGTATGGTGAGTTGAAGGCCTGCATTGCCATGTAGTGTGTCACCGTCTGTCGAAACCCCCACCCCCCAACCCCTTTCAAAATTCCAGGATCCGCCCATGCAACACCTCGGAAAGTTCTGACTGACATTTGTTCAGATGATGACGTCACGAAATGGCGGTCATAAAGGTTTTGAGTTTAAGGTTTGTCCCCATTGTGATCGCCATTTTGTGGTATCATGGCATCGTAGGACACGGATGTAATATCGCCTGATTACTCCCTAGGGATGTGTGGCGTCACTACTAATGGTGTATCCTACTTTTGTATGACGGAGTGAAATATTGTTTAAATTAGTAAGGGTACTCGCAACTGCTCTCACTCTCGTCCCAGTAGGGGCAGTATGATTACCTTATGGTTAAGTGCTTTCAGAACATAAATACTGGTCGTTAAGAATAACTCGGTCATGAATGGTTAGGTATTCTTGCCATACAGTTAACAGATCATGACATTGAAAACAATATCAGTAAACTGTATATCAATGTAAACACGTCATGAGGGTAACTGAAGATCGAACTGTTGATTCATTGATAGTATATAATCATGGATTGATTAGTTTATCTTATCAATGAGACTTGATTTCATGTCTTACAGGAACGTTCTGGCTGTATGGAGGCATGTGCGTGGTAGGCTTTATCTTCGTGGTCATATTCCTCCCAGAGACTAAAGACAAAAGTCTTGAAGAAGTGGAACAGCTGTTTATGACTTCCGGGTCCCGTGAGGAGAGGATTCACTTTTTGCACGCAGACCAACTGAGCAAGCAATACATGACAGGAGACAAGGAAACAGCGTTAGGGTCAGATGCTTGACACAACTGTTAACTTTAGTGCCCAACTCATTACGTATATGTCTGTGATAGGAAATGGTGTGACCATATATTTTACAGATGTCTATTTCTATATCAGTGTATATATGTATATAGCATTGTTGTTGCATTTACAATGCCAAAGAGAACTGTTTCAGGGTATCGATGGAGAAAGGCTGTGCTCCCACTGTGATCCCTGTTTTATGAAGGGGTCACACCTTGAGCATCCCTGGCTCAGAAACGAATGCAATATTTGATACCGGGACCATCATCGTGACGAAACCAGTGCGTTCCGGAGTCGAATCAACTCCAATTAGAGTTTAGCGAATAATTGGTTGAAAACAAAACACATGTCTGAACAGATATTTTTTTGAAGTAATTTCTTATAGGATGTTAATAGGTAACGTATGTTGACAATTAAACATAACATTTATTATAATTATAATGATTATAATGACTAACTTCTTTGAGTAATCACTAATTCCAGTCCTAGTGATCCTCGTGTCCACACGTTTTCTAAATCAGCCTCCATTTGACAAATTACTTTCAGTAATGTAGACAACATTGAAAGTGGTATGTGTTTGTTAAAGCTCTCTCTCGCATAGTTACCATAACTTCGACAACAGCTGGAGCAGACTGATACAGCTATGTATATCAGTGCTTACAATCCTAACGGTAAACAGTATAGCTGGGTGTCATGGAAAATTCCATTCACATGTTGGCACTGCAAGCCGACGCTCTGGCCAATCACTTGGCTAATTACTGTTTGAAAGAATCCATGTTTATGTACAGTGATGTTGAATGTTCGAGCTGATATCAAAAGCTGATGTCAAATCATGATTATTGCTAGAGAATGTTGCGATAGTTAATGCTTGTGACAATATTTCACTGTATGTAAATTATGTTAGGCTAAAATCGTTTTGATACAAACGTCTCAGCCGTTCGTCATTGAGACATTTTATCCCCACAGCCTTCACGGTGGACACCCCACTCTCACCTCACCCACCACGGTTCTATCCCCACAGCATTCACGGTAGACACCCCACTCTCACCTCGTCCACCACGGTTCTATCCCCACCGCCTTCACGGTAGACTCTCCACTCTCACCTCACCCACCACGGTTCTATCCCCACAGCCTTCACGGTAGACACCCCACTCTCACCTCGTCCACCACGGTTCTATCCCCACAGCCTTCACTGTAGACACCCCACTCTCACCTCGTCCACCACGGTTCTATCCCCACAGCCTTCACGGTGGACACCCCACTCTCATCTCTCCCACCGCGGTTCTATCCCCACAGCCTTCACGGTAGACTCTCCACTCTCATCTCGTCCACCACGGTTCTATCCCCACAGCCTTCACGGTGGACACACCACTCTCCCCTCACCCACCACGATTCTGTTTCCCGTAGAAGTCACACCACACTCACAAACCGCGTCAACCATGCCTCTATTCCCGACAGTGTTCACGGTGGTCACGTCACTCACCTCGTCTCCCATTGGTTCTCTTCCCCTACACAGGTCTTGGTGGGCACCTCACTCACTCATTGAACAGGTCACTTATGTATTCATGTATATTGTTTTTATCAGGGTACCACGTCATCCCGTCGCTAGAATCGGGTAGATATTGTCGATGCTGATACGCTCACGTTGTCCATCTCATGTTTTGACATATATCATGTTTGGCCATGGGGTAATAGCAAATATCAAGTATCATATAAATGTGTATGTCTGTCAAAGGTGGTCCTGGTTGCTGCTGCTGTGAATTGTCATCATTACACTTTAACCTTCAAGTACAACTTTAATAACCTTGTTAAATACAACACGGTTGAACCTATCCAGCAAGCCCATATCATCCACTAAAGCAGCATTCTTGATCATCCATTTGGACACGACAACTGCTGATCCCCAACTTTAAGGAAGCGGAACTCTTATATGTTCTCGTTACCTGCAAGGTTTCATTGGTCCTGGGTTCAGCTTGATCTGTACCATTGGATTGTCACACTACGGACGTACTCATGGTGGTACTAACTTGACCTTTGCTTAGTTTAAACTGACACTGCAGCATACTGTTGAACACTCACTAACTCTAAGAGACTCACAACCAGCGGAATCATTGACATTGTCACTTGGTCAAACCTTGAATAAAGTGTATGAAAACATCAACGTGTGCCGTGTTGTATTCAGTTTGACAAATGATTCCTTCACTCACACCTTCCTCCTCCCGAGGCCCAACGCTGGCATCCTATAACATTCGGGGTAAACCGCCACAAGATGCTAACTCGGTATGAGAAAGAAGAAAACTAGCTTTTAAAATATACAGAAAAGTCCAGTATTTCGGGTTAATGATAGCACGTGGATGATGGATGGATTGTCAATGCTGTTGTTTTCGGTATGTTTCACATATTGAATTTAGCGAACTTCACTTCATGGCATCTACGGCAAACTTCACTTCAATGTCTTTCAAAGGTAGATTCTTCCTCCAATAAGTAAAGTATAATGACATATCAAAATCGGCTAAAATACCATTGGTCTTCCTCATACAGTCTATCCACCAATATGACATGTTATTACGTTTTAAAATCGATAATCCAGTAAGGCAAAACATGCAGTCTTGGCATGCAGGTATAAGAAAGGCGAACATCTTTCAAGATTGAAAAAGTCCAAAGTCTTATGCGCCAGAAAGTGTTTATTTAGGGTAATTGATAGTTCAAGGCAAGCAGGTTACAGGTGTCACATGAATGTCAAAATGATCTTCGGATTTAACAGAAGTACACGAGATTTAATTACAATGCAAAAGGTATAAATTGTAATGCAAAGGGTTATGTAAGAAACATAGACACAAGATACGAGGAACGATTCTATCTGAGCATAAGGTATACCATTTATTATCTGTACTTCAGTCAAAAAGACGACCCTAAGACATTATAATTATAAGATAAAAATTCTTTTCTCCCGGCTGTCCAAAGAGGTCTCCACAGATGCTGGGAAGTAATCGTTTACATCGATATGAGTTTCGGCTGGAGATTTCTTCAGGTATCTGAACACTTGGAGCCAGAGCAGACATTCGAAGCAAGACTCGTGGACTGAAGCCATGGCAATATCTAATTTGTACACGTGCGCATTGTCTTAATGGAAGATGACATCTTTTCTTCTTACGTCTCCTAATTTCATACCGCATTTGCAGCAAAGGTGCAGCCAATTTGCACGTTTGGAAGATAGTCTGCCAAGACGACACCGCAGCAGGTCATGAACGTTCCAGCTGATTGAAGAGCCGCTGCCTTCTTCCGTAGTGATGTTACATGTTCCATATTTTATTGTTGTTTTGTACTCGTCCTGATAGTGACGAACCAAGGTTTTATCCACAGTTACATGTCGTCGCAAGAACCCCTCTGGATCAGCTTCAAACAGAGCTAGATTATCATAAGATGTGCTTGGGGAGTTTTTGGTCTGATATTAGAATCTTTGGACCCCAAGGACATGACACTTTCTTAACTGCAAAGGGTATGTGAAAATGGAAGTACTTTAACCTGAGAATGACAACAGAACTATCTATACGCCGTCGTCATACTGTGGACTTCTGCATAATTTCTGGTGTTCCTGCTCTAGCGGGGCCACCTGCAAAGCTATCTCTCATATTTAGAAAGCTCTGTTGTCCATCTCTTTGTAGTGGTATACGAAGGAGCACATTTCGTCACCTTTGTATTCATATGCTCATGGGTGGCTTTAGGTGTTAAGTCCCTTTTCTGCAAATTTCTGAACAATGCATATACGTCAACTATTTTTCTAAACGTCACTGACTCTATTTACTGTCTCATGGAAACAGTTTGCTTCTCTGTGAGTGAATGAAGGGCAAGGACCTGAAAAGTTCTCATCGATTTTGTGTTGAAGTACGTGTCTCAAAGACATACTGTCCGTTTGTTACCAAATGACGATCACATATGTATATATACTATGCAGCACGAACAGAACGTGTTTCCACCCTCCGCTAAAGGTGTCAACTTGGACAGCATTGCAGTTAGACTAATGCTTAGTCTCTGAATATATATACTTTTGATGGTAACAAACAAGCCCCATTTTAATTGAAAAGGAGCCCCAGGGAGACCAGAGAGCTTAAGCACTGCAGAGAGGGCTTGGCAGTAGGGAAAATAATGTGGTTCAGGGACAGTGAGACAGACTACATGGCAGTTTCTTAACAACTTTTACCAGTGATGAGTTTTCAAATACCAAACAGCAGACATTGTTGGGTACAGGGTATTCATTGTCATGTACCGCACTGACGCTTGATAGGTGATTCCCTACTTTGAGGTATTTTGCATTTTATCATTCTCATCTGGTTACAAACGGACCGTGCGTAGTACACATTTTCAAGACTTTCGTTAACATTGAGGCATTGATTCTATGACTCTCTGAAGACCATTTCAACTCACAGGCGACCTGATAACCTCATCACTTTTCTCTGCCCTCCTCTACTGCCCTCTTCCTCGACAGCACAGTAACGCCCAGTACCCCTCCCTTACTTTGGGGGACACCAGCCATAGAAGGGGGTTCACTCCCGAGTTGGCATATGCCAGCCAGTTCGATATCGAAACTGCCTTGAGCGGGGCATATACACCCATCGCGCTTAGAGGGAATATTACATAGAAAGGTGCTCGCATCAATATATAGGCAGTACACACCAAGAGAACTCCCACAGTCTGTTTCCTTGGGTATTCGCCCTGCTCTTGTCTCAACTCACGCCATTTCATTAGGATACCGATATCGACGCCGATACATACAAATATCGGGATAAAGAAACTTATCACTGGAGATAATATTTTTTGAGGCGGTTCCACGATGAAATAGCATTGGTCCTGGTACTTCTCAACTTCATTTATAACGACAGTTAAGAATATGGAGATAGCCGCACCTATCGCCCACGGCAGCGCCATCAGCAGACAAACGATGCCGCACTTGGTCGTCCCAGTCGTCGTCCGGCTGCCATGTTTGATGTTCACCAAGCGTTCAGAACTGATGACTACCAGAGTGACGATAGAAACAATACCCAGCATCCAGTCGGACGTGACCCAAACGTGACAAAAACGTTCTCCAAATATCCAGAATCCTTTGTAGTAGTAGAGCGCGGCATATGGCACAACCCCCACACCTACCAGTACGTCAGCGACCGCAAGGTTGATGATGAGAAGCCAGAAGAGGTTGCGGCGTCTGACGCCGTCCCTGAGTATGCTGATGATGAAGGTGACATTGGAGACAGTGATCCATATGGCGAGGATGACGCCAAATATACCAATAATTCTGTCACTGAAGTCGACCGTATTTGAGACGTAACTGTCGGTCTGGTTCCAATCCAATGATTCCATGACGAAGCTGCAAAACAGAGAACATTAAAACAGCTTGAAATATCAATTCTGTTGATTGTTACCGTTTACCCCCTGTTACATCTTGTTGAGTGTATAAGTATAAACCCCTGTCATCACATGATGGCAATATACTCGTTACAGGAACTGTCAGGAAGAAGGGCCGGGGTAGCCTAGTGGTTAAAGCTTGCGAACGTCAAGCCGAAGACCCGAGCTTTAGGTATAATGTATTTTCTGTAGTCTCCCGCCGTCATGAAAATGTAATATTGCTAAATGCGTTGTAAAAACTCAGTCACTCCCTCAGGAATGAAGGAACAAATTTCTGCTAAATACAAACTTAAGTATTCCCTTCTAAGACGGAAAAGAGCTAACAACAACAGAATGCTTGACACTCCATTCATTTACACCACACGATGTAGGACGGCTATATAAATAGCAAACAGAGGAACGCTAATTACGTGGCTTTAACTTGTATGAAAAGGTTGCATTGTTGCCAAATTAGGGTCGTTGCAGTGTAATTGTACTGCCGTTGGTATTGTAAACTCCCGTGTTCTCTTCAAAAGATGCTGTTTTTAACTTAGTCTAGTGTCGTTTCAGTTACTTCGGACCTTTGGGTGGAAGCTGAGAAACTTTAATGTACTACGAAAAATGGATCAGTCTTGTCAGCTAATTCACACAGAAAAGACAAAGTCAGTTATTGTACAATTATCTTCAAGTCAAAAGTAACTTTTGCCATTTGGATGGATACGTTCCGTTGATCCTGATTCATTAATGATTACATTAGGGTTATCAGAAATGGAGAGTTTAAACGTACCTGTAGGGAAGTTGGTGGCTGTAGAAGCGGCCAAACACTACCTCTCCGCCGAACAGAGTTGATACACCCAGCTGCTGGCAATGCTAACTGACCACATAGTCGTCCAAATTCTCTCCGACCAGCGCGGGCTATGGCCGACAACGCTGATTGTGGGTTAATTAGGGCAGTTTACTTTAATGAGAGCACTTATCTTTACTTCGTGTAATAATGGTGTCAAATGCTTCGCTGACATTCAGATCTGCACTATCCAGACCCAGCTCCCCTCCAAAAGTGAGTGAGTTTAGTTTATTTTTACGCCGAGCTCAGCAATATTTCAGCTATGGCGGCGGTCTGTAAATAAACGAGTTTTGACCAGACAATCCAGTGATCAACAGCATGAGCATCGATCTATGCAATTGTGATACGATGACACGTGTCAACTAAGTCGGCGAGCCTGACCACCCGATCCCGCTAGTCGTCTTTTACGACAAGCATGGGTAACTAAAGATCAATTCTAGTGTGACCCGGAGTATTGAGCACATCCAACAAATAACATTTCGAACAACAATTGTTATCACCGAAGTCAGTAATACGTCACCATAGCAAATAGTTTATACTTGTCATTCGTACACACACTCAGAGAGTGACCATACTGAAAGTGTGGGTTCGAATCCCGAATGAAATTCAGTCCAAGAAATTCCAGAATTCGTACTGTACTAAGATAGTGTTATCCCCAGCGTAACGTGTTTCCAGTTGACCACTTTCTAAGCGCCATTTTGTGTATTCATATGTAACCGCGTACCTTCAATGGTCGGCTCTAACAACATGAGCGGTTCCACGAGGATTGACCATTCTTCGTAAGAAACAGGCTGAAAGAGAATGGGGTCAAATGGGCTCTGACGTCATGCGAAAGATTATTGCTCATAACGAGTGACGTACATGCATGTGTGCGTGTGTGCTTGTGGGCTTATACTATTCAGGTCTGACTCCGATTTTACTCTGCCAGCCACTGATAGCATGACACAATATAAAACGGCTCACACCTTTTTTCTGACTCCGTGCCCACCAGAACTTGTAACATCCCCTTAATCCCGAACGAAAGCTAAGGTAACACCAAGTACCATCCTTTTTCATGTTGATGGAGCGAACACCGGATCGAGTCATCGACCTCAGGCCATCCGCGCAGACACTCAATCCACTAGATCGCGCGGACATGTTAGCTGTGGCAGTAAATCCCATTCACCAGCTCCACACAGAGAAAACCCCTGTGTGAACTGCTGCAGCATCTTTTATTGGTTAGAATTTTACAATATTTATCTGTCACTGATTATATTCAGTAAGATAGATCATGAACGACCACCCCGACCTAACCACTGCCTCTCAACTCTCACGTATGACGAAACGCCCGGATGTAACTACTGGCTGCAGCTGGTCGACCTATTGCACAATCTAAACTATTATGACCAACGTCACGCTGTTGTTATTGCGGTTGAGTAGGGCGGTTACTGGCAGTTCTCTACGCGCAGTTTTAACAAGTGAAAACCTCCGGTAGCTACAATTATAGTGAGTCATAATTTTAATATGAGACATTACACGGTTACCGTCAGAGTAATCACAGGAATGTGTTGAATCGCTCATTACGGTAAAACACCGTACACAACAGACCGAATCATGAATTCTGTTACATTGAAACGTGCTGAACATTGTGTTCAGCAAGTCGTGAAATCAGGTATTATGTTAATGATCGTGAGCTCGGTGCACGACGCATTTCCATGTTATAAATATGATCTCCACCATTTTTGTCAGCTGTACAAAGTTGATATGATGCATATGTACCCATGACAAACGAATACTTTAAATGGGGTTAATGTCATCTGATCCCGTGTTCGACATGGCGGACTTGATACATTTTCCACCTGCCAGTTACCCTGGGGTTAATGTCATCCGATCTCGTGGCGGACTTGACATATTTTTAGGGATCATTTGAGTTGGAGTAAACGAGAAATCCAAGAATACTGTAGTCATTCTTGTCTTAATACATTAAAGTTCTACAATTAGCTGTACCATTTTCAAAAAACGAACATGACTGTAATTTATATCAGTCTTTGACGTATCACTGTGTTTGACATTTTAAACTGTGGCGCCAATCAATAAGCTGCCTTGAATTTTCCTCCCACGATTTACCCACCGTCAAACAAAATGTCACTGGTTTCAAATATACGTGAAATCCAACTTACACACTTTTTTCAGTGTTGCCATTTGACGTATCACTATGTTTGACATTTTAAACTGTGGCGCCAATCAATAAGCTGCCTTGAATTTTCCTCCCACGATTTACCCACCCTCAAACAAAATGTCACTGGTTTCAAATATACGTGAAATCCAACTTACACACTTTTTTCAGTGTTGCCATTTGAACACATCATCTGTCAAGATACGTCTGGGTTCGACGTAAAGGTATTTAACCATTTACTGTATTTTGGTCAGAACGAGTGATACCTATATGAACACAACACACATAGATATTCAAGACTTTATTATCAAAATCAGGTAAATACTGGCGATAAAGACAGAGAGTACTTGTTCAGCTGTCCGATGTCTTTCGTGACAGGAAACAAACTGGAGGGTGGGCTCCCTGGGCATGCGATGTACGATGAAGGGGCTGAGAGAGAGCTGAATGCACGAGAATAGGGTACACGAGGTTGGTTTGCCTGAGGCTGAAGGGAGGCTACCAGGGTAGGCGAGGGACAAGTGACGGGCTACCAGGGGATTGAATGCACGTGAGAGATGCTGCTAGAGGACTGTATGCGCGTTGGAGGGGCTACTAGGGGTTGTTCTGCGGTAGTGGGTGTAGGGGTAACTATGCGCGAGAGTAGAGATAGACAAACGTACATACTATGTGAAGACACAGATGTATCAGTCTGTCGAGGTGTGGTTGCCACCATACGTAGAGGATTGGTCGCCAGACCTGTGGTACCCTCAGATTTTACCCACGATCTAATTGGGCATTAGCTAAAACTGTCACCGTATGCCAGTTTCGTTAAGAAATAACTTACATTGTATTCAAAGTGTTTCCTTACTACAAAAGGGCGTCTTAACACCAAGCAGAACACAAACGGTTTTAATTAAGTCATGAGAATACATACACGGCAAATTTAACTAAGAACTGATTATAAAAATATCACAAAAATACCTGAAAGTTTAAGTTTCTATGCATATGCATTACTATTACAGAGCCGAGATTCCCGAATGTTTTTTATATGGAACTGTTTCCTTTATGTCTGTCGTTGTGGATACGGCTGCTCTGAGCCGAACTGAATGCAAGTGTACTCGTGTACACTCTAAATCTGTTTGTTGGTCCACCAAGAGTGTCATCACGCGCCTCCGTCTCAACTATGTATGTCTGGGCTAAATAAGCTCCTGTTTCCAGTATTAAATCACGTAGTTTCATGTTGTCAAATTATGCACTAGTGCCACACAACGGAGTACGTTACTATCTCGGCGTTAATTACATTCAGACTTGCAATACCAACATTCTAATCTCGTTTATGAAACCGAGGGACGGGCGCGGAAGTCCAATATTGAAACGTTGCTGTTCTGTTGAGGGGAGGTAACTCTATTGATTTGCTCATGAATTGCCATGATGAATCAACAATATGTATGATAAGGGGAGTGTGGTAATTGTATTTTATGTGTGTGTGTTTATTGATATATTTTACTATGGGTAGGGGAAGAGGGTCCTGGGAGATAGGGGGTCGGCTGGGGTATGTTACAGTTGGAACATAGAAAAACACAAGTATATATAACAATAAGACACAAAACAATAACAGAACAGAACAGGGATCTTGATGGACGTGATAATGCTTTACTTATCATTGTGACGTCATTGGTTACTATGCTGGCACAATCAAATGACAAAATCTCTCTGCCACTAAAGCTGAACAACTGTTCTCTTTACACGCAAGGCATTGGATTGGACATATTTACAGAATCGTCCCTTCGTATCTTTTGCAACATATCACTCGTCGATAAATGTGTGAAGAACAAGTCAAATTTATAAATGACAAAGATAGATATCACTGATGATTGCCGAACAGTAACTGTTCAGTGTTAAACAAACAAATGTTGACATAAACAGCCACTCAGGTGAGATTCTCTATTTCTAAACTGCAAGGAGTAACACAATTTTGGAACGCACATGTGTATTTCAATCATATAAAAATACTCGTGTTTATATCATTCGGACCTTTATATGGTTCCTAGGGAGCCGAACTCACACTTTCCCGGATCCGCCATTGTACTGGGCATATCCATACTGGTAGAACCATCTTGGCTTCTCCATAATCTCTATCCACACACACACGTTCAGGAGCAATACTGCCAAACCAGTGGTTTCTAGTCGGGTGATATACGACACGTCATCCAACAAATAAAGTTACACTGTCTTTATACACAGATTCAAGGTTGATTTGGAGCCAAGGGAATTCAAGGTTCCTAGTCAAATACAAGGACTGGTTGCCGGACACAATAAACTGTGTATTCCACACTGTCTCCTCCACTACACTCCCTTTCCCACACCGATTCAAGGTTGATTGGAGCCAAGAGAGTTCAAGGTTCCTAGTAACGTACAAGCAGGGCATTATCAACACTTTCCTGTCACCAAATGATATTCTAAGTTCCGAACGACTGCCGCACTTCAACGTGTTTGAACCGTTTGCGAGTGCTTTGGCACTCTTGTACTTCAGCAACGGACCTGGCTGTATCCTGTTGCCATCCTGCTTCGTTCACACATCATAACTAAATGAGTATCAGTCAACAGTTCCGGAGACTCTAGTTTCGAAGAAACAGGAACATGTCATCCTTTACCCACAGAATGTTCGAGAGAGCGAGTGACTTTGGCTTGACGCCGCTTCCGACTGTTATATCCAGGCATTGAGGCTCGAAGCTCGATGGAAGTCCGAAGTGACACACGTCTAACACGTTCATCTTTGGTGAAATCCACGACCAAGAAATTCATCTGACAAACCTAGAAACACAATACGGACGAAGAAGCCCTGGCCATATACTCTGGGACGCGTAGAGGGCGCTACTATCGCCCCTGACTAGATGATCATGTCTCTGTATCCTTCAGCTCAAACACCTCATCGTTATCATCCATCATGGACCTTCTCGCCTCATCCTCATCAGCCTCGTCTGAATCGTCCTCCTCCTCCTCTTCCTTCTGTCTGCAACAGCACAGCAACGCCTTGTACCCCTCCCGTATTGGGGGAAACACCAGCCACAGAAGGGGGTTGATCCCCGAGTTACAGTACCCCATCCAGATAGTGAATGTGATGATGGCCCGAGGGGGGTGATACTCCGCTACCGCCATTAGAAGAGAGACCACAAAGAATGGAGCCCACATTACTGTGAAGACCACGCTGACGATACACACACAGAAGATCTGTCTTTTCGGGTTCTCGTTCTTCCTCTTGAGGGGGAGATCATCTAGTCTGTGCCTCAACACAAACAGCATCAGGAGAATGGCAATGTTGACTCCAATTGCCAAAAACGCCGGCACAAAGAAACTGACAAACAACGACGATATTTTATAATCTTGTCTCAGAAGCAGCATGCAATCGTTCTCTGGGTTGATTATTTCCCTTTTACCCATGATCCATAGCGGCAGGACGAGCGCCATGCCGATAATCCATGGCAACATGATCATGAGGCAACACAGGATGTATCGACTGTTTTCCAGGAACATCCGAGGACAGGTGAGATACATGAAGCGGTCACAGCTGATCATAACCAGAGCGATTATAGACACAGTGCAGAGCAGTACGTCGGAGATGAGCCAGAACTGGCACACGTCTTCACCTAGGTCCCACGAGCCTCCCAGTAGGTAGTCCGCCATGATGGGGACCACCACTACACCCACAAGAAGGTCAGCAACTGCCAGGTTGACGATGTGGAGGCAGAAGATGCTGCGACGTCTGATGTCGTCCATGAGGATGCTGATGATGAGGGCGGAGTTGCAGACGATGATCCATATGGTGAGAAGGACGCCGAACACCCCCACGCCCAAGCTGCTTGAGTCGTCCGCCATTGTGCCGTTGTCAGGCAACGTGCCCACTGCAACCATCTTGCCTCACCTGAAACAATATGATATATATATATATATATATATAAGACTCTTAAGACACTTCCAGCTTATTCTACTATCAAAACAAAAACGATAGGCTATTATCAACACACAGTAAACAGTTTAACATCATAACTAATAATATGGTATATTCCCATTCATGTTAAAACCCATTCATCATAGAAAACCGACCGATCAGCCAATCAGCGTCGAGGCTCCAACTAAAACGACAAATTACGCAAGGCAATCGTATAGCGGCGCCATCAGAAATTGTTTCAGATATTTAATTTCTCTTGCAGTCAAATACTTTCACTCAAAATGCAATGTTCCTGTCTGTACAAATACAATACTTCCGAATATACAGTAAAATTACGAAAACTGAAGCCGAACCAGATTAGAAAGCAGACAGCGGATTGGTTCATGCGCTCTTCGTGAAACGGGTCTGTCAGGGCCTTCAAGGGAGATGTTCTCAGGTTGTAACGCTGATGGTAAAGGGAGGCAGTACGGGCAGTGTGACACCATTGGCAGCTACCAGGATGACCTAGCCTTCTAGGGAGATGTTATCAGGTTGTAACGCTGATGGTAAAGGGAGGCAGTACGGGCAGTGTGACACCATTGGCAGCTACCAGGATGACCTAGCCTTCTAGGGAGATGTTCTCAGGTTGTAACGCTGATGGTAAAGGGAGGCAGTACGGGCAGTGTGACACCATTGGCAGCTACCAGGATGACCTAGCCTTCTAGGGAGATGTTCTCAGGTTGTAACGCTGATGGTAAAGGGGGCAGTACGGGCAGTGTGACACCATTGGCAGCTACCAGGATGACCTGCCTTCTAGGGAGATGTTCTCAGGTTGTAACGCTGATGGTAAAGGGAGGCAGTACGGGCAGTGTGACACCATTGGCAGCTACCAGGATGACCTAGCCTTCTAGGGAGATGTTCTCAGGTTGTAACGCTGATGGTAAAGGGAGGCAGTACGGGCAGTGTGACACCATTGGCAGCTACCAGGATGACCTAGCCTTCTAGGGAGATGTTCTCAGGTTGTAACGCTGATGGTAAAGGGGCAGTACGGGCAGTGTGACACCATTGGCAGCTACCAGGATGACCTAGCCTTCTAGGGAGATGTTATCAGGTTGTAACGCTGATGGTAAAGGGAGGCAGTACGGGCAGTGTGACACCATTGGCAGCTACCAGGATGACCTAGCCTTCTAGGGAGATGTTATCAGGTTGTAACGCTGATGGTAAAGGGGGGCAGTACGGGCAGTGTGACACCATTGGCAGCTACCAGGGTGACCTCATCAATACTAGTTATATACCGCGGTGTGTAACCTACATTGCGGTACACTGGAGTACTGTGATAACAGCATATGTCAACATTGCAGGAATGTTATTGTTGTGTTTCCTTCTAAACGCATCGGCTTGTTGGACTGAAGCATGCCGTTTCCGTTGTATACCATTGCTACAACACGAGTCTGAGTCTCCCATACACTAAGTCCTGTAGAACTAGGCTCCAGGGCTCCTTTACACTAGATTGCTCCAGAACTAGTCTAAGGCTCCTTTACACTAGATTGCTCCAGAACTAGTCTAAGGCTCCTTTACACTAGATTGCTCCAGAACTAGTCTAACTCCCTTTACACTAGTTGCTAAACACTAGATTGCTCCAAACTAGTCTAAGGCTCCCTTAACTAAAATGCTAAAGGCCAAGACCAAGGCTCCCTTAACCAAAGTGTTACAGAACTAGTCCAAGTCTCCCTTATCTAAAGTGCTTCAGAACTAGACAATGGCTTCCTTAACTAAAGTGCAACAGGAAGAGTCCCAGGCTCCCTTGGCTATACGTGTAAATAGCAACGGGAGACATCCTGCAGTAAACATGGTGAAACCGTGGTGAAATAATCCACTGACATGGCACAACTCAAGCTCGTGTAACGGGTGCTAGAAACACACACCACAGAGCACAGAGCCAAGCGGAACATCGACTGACCAAGGTCTGGTGTGTCTTGCAACTAATGTACATCATGGATATAACAAACTCCAAGGACCCATAAACCAAGCCTACACAACCACGTGCCCAGTTTTACATGCCCACTCATAGAGAGACGATAAAACCAACCTACCTTCACCTATCTACCACCTACAACACCCACATACGTGGTCATATAAAACGGAGCACTTCACTTATACCCGTACCATTGTTTTAGCTTCTTCCGGTTGTTGTATATAGAAGTCTAACCCTAATTTAACCCTAACTCTAACCCTGCTAACCCTTAACCCGATAACTCTAACCCTGCTAACCCTTAACCCTCTAACTCTAACCTGCTAACTCTAACCCTGCTAACTCTAACCCAGCTAACTCTAACCCTGCTAACCCTTACCCAGCTAACTCTAACCTGCTAACTCTAACCCTGCTAACCCTTACCCAGCTAACTCTAACCTGCTAACTCTAACCCTGCTAACTCTAACCCTGCTAACTCTAACCCTGCTAACTCCTTACCCTGCTAACTCTAACCCTGCTAACTCTAACCCTGCTAACCCTGCTAACCCTTACCCAGCTAACTCTAACCCTGCTAACTCTAACCCTGCTAACTCCCTGCTAACTCTAACCCTGCTAACTAACCTTACCCTGCTAACTCTAACCCTCTAACCCTGCTAACTCTAACCCTGCTAACTCTAACCCTGCTAACCCTTACTCCCCTGCTAACCCTTACCCTGCTAACTCTAACCCTGCTAACCCTTACCCTGCTCACTCTAACCCTGCTAACTCTAACCCTGCTAACCATTACCCAGCTAACCATTACCCTGCTAACTCTAACCCTGCTAACCCTTACCTGCTCACTCTAACCCTGCTAACTCTAACCCTGCTAACTCCAACCTTGCTAACTCCAACCCTGCTAACTCCAACCCTGCTAACCCTAACCTTAAGCTTCCCTCCGATCATGCGCAGAAAATACATTTAGTGGTACCGGTAAATGTACCCTATAAAACTAACTTCACGAATCTACCAACCACTTCATTATATATAACCTTCCCTCACATATCTACCAAACACTACACTATGTAAAAACATACCTTCATCTATCTACCAACCACTTCACTATATAACACCTACCTTCAGCTATCTACCAACCACTTCACTATGTAACACCTACCTTCACCTATGATATCTACCAACCACTTCACTATATAAAACCTAGTACCTTCACCTATATACCAACCACTGAATTCACTATATATGTATAAAACCTACCTTCATCTATCTACCAAACATTACACAGTATAAAACATACCTTTACCTATGTACCAACCACTTCACTATGTAAAACCTACCTTCACCTATCCACATGACCGACACAGGCGGTCATATACGACACAGGCGGTCACTTACACCCACTTACCACCCACACCACTGTGTGTGGCCAAACAGAAACCGGCCTTGAACCCGTCACCAAGATGTAGGCGTTGTCATCGCCCCCGCGCCATGCCCGATATCTTATCCATCATTACGTAGATACGTGGAAAGGGATTTTGATGTAAAAAGGTTACCTTGAGGTTTGGCAGCAGAGCCTCCATCGTGCACGACATCTCCCTGAGGTCGACAATGTCGCTTTTATGATGGAGAGGAGCTGGTCACACAAGTGCTCAGAACGTAGTGTAAAAACCCACCACCACCTGCCGTTATACTATGCCTTAGTGTCTTAAGAGGTTGCTTTTTTGTACATCCGTACTAAGAACACCTCATGACCGCAATGTACGGCAACACCAATAACATCACAGCCCCGAAACTTGACACAAACACCGCCGTTATTTATCTCAAGCAATGACCATCTCTTCCAGCGATGTTCCATTTATCAGACACAGTATGTATTGCGACATCTGCGCACATCAATCTCCACTCTAGCTAGATCTCCCGGCCACGTCACTACCATTTCTCCCAACTCTATAAACAGCGACTACACTAAGTAGCCTGACGGTCAGTGTCTACGTACATTATAATCCATTACAAACAGCTTCTTTCCAAATCACTTACAGCGGATATTTCACTACCTGTGTGGGTATCGACTTTGTGTGATAACAACACCGGATACAATATAATGTTTATGTAACTACACTTTGTATACAAGATATGTGTGTTCTGGATGTTTAGTGATGAGTTATACAGAAAGGGGATAACCCATCTAGGTCAGGCGTTGTGTCAGGTCTGCCAGCCATCGAGCGTGACTCGATGATTACGTTTTAAAACTTGACCCTCTTCCTTGCAGATGTTTTAATGTTCTGATTAAACATCCATTATTATTCTGTATATCCTATAATCAATAATAATTAATGCCGGATCTGCCAGGGACACATTGGCACATATGTGTCATGGCCCCGTTATTTCTCAACATTTGACAAAGAAACGATGTATTAGATTCTGTTTGTAAACTGAAACTGTTTGTCAACAATAGAAACATGTACATGTTCTAAATTAAAAAAATGCTGGCAATGTGCCAGTTTCATGGTGATACGTAACACCTATCGGATGATGTTCATCTGATATAGGAAAATCCTGTTGAGTGGTGTGTGCACGTTTTGAACGGGGTTTTCTTTTGCGAAGTGGCGTACCCAACGCCGTCTAAAACAGATGACAAGACTGAGAAATGAGCGTGTGTAGGGTGCAGCCACGCTCCGTCTAAAACTAACGTTATATTTAAATAAACATTTCTTTTTCTTGACTTCAAGCTGGCAGGTGTCTTCACAACAGACATAAACAGCACACTGCCATTTAGAAACATACATCTGAATCATGTCATCCATAAACACATTTAGCATTTCCTGTAAATATCCTAAAATAACTCCCCCAGTACTGCGCAACGAGACAAGATCGCGCTGCGCTGCTCTGGCCTTGAGTTGGTCGTGTTTACAGCGGAGAGGACGGGTCAGCGCGACCTGGTAAACATGTTGGTGTTTACAAACACACCACTTCCAGAACGCATAAGGTATATTACGGCACGGCAACGTGATTCAGGTCACGCAAACCCATCATTTGGACCTGAGGTAACGAAGAAATGGGGACTACATAGTTGAAATGAAAGCGACACAGTCCCGTATGACAAAGAATGAATCGATTCACGAACGATTTTAACAAAATCCAAATAGAAGCAAGACAACATTCAAGAGATTTCGGAAAAGAATTTCTGCTTTAAAAATAGTTTTATGTCCAACATCAGGGCTACATTTTGGTGATGTATTCGGAAACCGTTATGTTCACTATTTTTGGTTTCTCGTGCATTGTCCATTATGATAAAGGTTCCGTTGAGATAATTCTGAAAAATCGATTATAATACATTCGTAATAACATATGGCGCCGGATTCGGAAAACCAATACCATTTCCCATCATAAAAGGTACACGTTATTTCAGATGTGTTACACATAGTCAATACCTGTCTTATTTATGCTAATAGAGAGACGGTGGGTTTACAGGTATGGTCGTCATATTTTTCGACTTCGTGAAAATGTGCCGTAATAAATAAATTAACGTGCAGCAATACTGAAATTAGAGTTATTGTGGGCGAGAACTGCTTTACACAGTATTCCAATTGTATCACAATGAGTCACCTGGATGGGGGAGGAAAACCCGAAGTAACACAGGTGACAGACGTTTACCACGTTGAAGAAACCCTCGCTGATAAATGTGAACGGAAACACGTGTGGAATAGCTCTTTTCGTAACTATGGCAAACCCAACCCTTGATTCCACCACTTGACCCTCCCCAGTATATTCCAGTTGGTATGAGTGGGTGGGTATTCCTTTACGCCGCTATACGCCTCAGCGACTCGTCTCTTTGGAGCGAAAATAGTGCTGAAGTGGCATTTACACTTTCTCACTTCATGTCACTGAAATGACACAATCGTTTTTGCAACATCAAAAATTCACACATATCAAATGTACAAATCTTTCATCAGGACGAGCGTCTCAGCCGTCTAGGGCACTGCAAATCGCCGAGTTAGCTCTCCTAGGAATGCCAGAAAGCTATGATCTCGAGTTCGAATCCCGATCCGCCAAACTTATGTTTCTTGATTTTCAGCACCATACCCCGGTCCGTGGCTTTCACCAAAAGTGGTAACTCTCTAACATATATCCGAAAGACCTGAGTCCCGATCCACAAAGCGTTCGTAACGTTACGACCTGTCGTAACTCTATGGTTTAACATAGGCTTACGAATGTCGTAGCGCTATGAACGCTTTGTGGATCGGGACCCAATTTACGTCACGAACATAATATCTTTACGCAGGGGCGTAGCTACCATCATAAACAAAGCCCGGGCTAACACATGATTGTTCCTAAAAAGGTAGGGCAAGCCCTCAATACTGTCTAAATATAAAGTTTTGCAACCTATCGGGCTTACACGAACAAACTGGCTTGCTACGCGCCTGTAAAATTACGGAAGTACTGTGTAGGCTACAGTTTTGACACTCACACAGTGAATCTCCCTAACGAATGAATCAATACTGACACAAATAAGGATTCAAATGAACAGAAAACACCCGTGATACATTTCGCCATGGTTTAACATGTACACCGAAAATTAGATACACCCACATGCGTTCTTTGAAATCCTGATCTGGCGGAAATACCATATATTTATGCTGTTCATAAATACTGTTCATCACTGCTGATCGACGACAGATTGCCACTGTTCCACCGTTGAAGTGAATTGGCTTATTCTTCCGGATTAATTCATAAACAGAACTAAAGTGGCCCATTTATCCCCTTTGTTGCAGCTGTGACTACGGTAAACACTCGACTGCACCACCTGCCGGAAAACAGTTGTCATGGAAATAACATCCATTCAAACTTCCAACACCGCCAGGATTGACCTATTCTGTCTGTGGCGGTGTAGTGAAGCTTGTATCAGCTGCTCCTTAACTCTACATACATCAGCCATCCTCGAACAGCAACCCCACAGCGCCTATATCTCACCGTGACACATTACATAACTTGGACATCACCGGGATACATTACATCAATCAGGGACATTACATCACCCACACCTGGCCTTATTCCAAACACTTGAAATATTTGACGATCAATTCGGACATTTGGCGCTAGGCTGGGATGCTCGAAATACCATCAGTATGACTGCAATGCATAACGGTGTGAGCGGTATATCAAACAACCCAGTCGGAACAGAGCATGCGCAAACAAACGCTGCAATAGTAAACATGTGTCTCAGTCAATCACAAGTCATACACCGACTTTTCGATTGATATAGCCAAGGGGCGGGCTGGAATTTCTGTTTATAGTTGTTTTAATTATAAACTTCAACAATAATTAGGGACTAGATAATTCTTAAAATGGGGTCAGGGTGTGTTGGGAGGGGGCGCGGGGGGCAAAATATATTAGCGTTCTAGCTAAATCAATCTCACCCCTACGCTATACCTATAATGTATACACTGTTGTGTGGTCTTTTGCGATGTATCTAAGGCCTTTGATAGAGTTTGGCACAGAGGGCTTATGCTTAAATTGGAGAGGTACGGAGTAAGTGGAAAGTTACTTGATTGGTTTGATAGTTATGTAAGAGGTCGCAATCAATCAGTTTCTGTTCATGGCTCGTTATCTAAGCCTTTGGTTTTAAAAGCAGGAGTTCCACAGGGATCAGTTTTAGGTCCCTTTCTTTTCATTGTGTATGTAAATGAGATAGCAGATAAACTACATTGTATAACTCGGCTTTTCGCTGACGACACGTCACTGGGAGCCTTGTCAAAAGAAAAGCATTTGATGGAAAGAATAATGAAAGAAAATCTACAAATATTATGTAATTGGGCAAAGGACTGGCTAATTTCTTACAATCCGGACAAAACGGAAGCTATGCTATTTACGACGATGGCCAAACAGACATTAATCTGAAATTTGACAATTGTCATGTAAAACCGGTTGACTTTAATCTGAAAGACCTGAGTCCCGATCCACCAAAGCGTTAACGTTACGACCTGTCGTAACATGGTGTCATGTAAATGTCGGTTGACATAAACATATGGCTACCATCATAAGGACTAACATTTTCATGTAATGGGGTTGGCACCATCATATTGAAAGTATTTTTAAAAAATCGGGCTTACACGAAATGCGCCTGTAAAATTACGGAGGAGAGTACTGTGGTAGGCACCATCTCTATTGAATGAAGTTCTCTGACTGAAATAAGGATAAAAATGAACTTCTGAAAATGATTGGAGCATTTCGAAAGTTAAAGTTTCTCCTGAATATTGAACAACATTGTCAAGTATGATATATACTGTATTCATAAACAGACCACATTTATCGAGTATTACGCATCTGAAGTATGGGACAGGTGTTCTATTGAAGAATCTAATAGATTAGAAAAGTTACAACTTGAAGCGGCTCGTATAGTTACTGGTCTGCAGAGATATGCTTCTTCTCTAACGCCCCACAGCGCCTATATCTCACCGTGACACATTCCATAACTTGGACATCATTATACTTTGAAACGGGATGGGATTTACTATCTGAGAGAAGAAGGGTGAAAAATTATCGTTATTTTATAAGATACATACAGGCCTTGCTCAAGTTTTCTTTATGATTTACTCCCTCCTGTAGTAGGTAGTCGAACAAATTATGAATTAAGAAACTCCAGTAATTACACTCAACCCTGTACAAGACTACGATATTCGACTCTATCCTTTTTCCATCAACAATTAAACTGTGGAATAACATCACCTTAGCTATCAGAAACTGTAAATCTGTTGTGTCTTTTAAAACTGCAGTTCAAGTTAAACAAAATGTGCACCCGTATATTTCTCATATGGGAAAAGGAAACTAAATGTTTTGCATACAAGATTAAGATATAT